TTGATAAAAACAGAGATGCAGTTATCAAGGTCCCATTGCAAAATATACCAATAAACCATAAAATAATCAATCATTGCAAACACAAGAACGGATGACAAGCAGATGAGATTATCGGTTCTCAGAAATCACTAGTTGTTAATCTTTACTGTAAATCTGGTAAAAAGATCTTATCTACAGTGAAACAAAATTGATTTTCAATTTTGACACTATTGAAAAGAGCTCTTAAAGCTGACTTCGCAGCCATGTCTGTATAGGTTTCCATACCCACAAGCCGAACCATTGTCCCATAAGCATCAATGCCACCGTAGAAAGTAGCATGTGCTGTTTGCCATGCACGCCTTTGTAAACCCCGGGAATTCTAGCTTCAACAGCTACCAGAACGAGAAGGAAAGAAACCAAAAAAGTAACAACCGCAATTGCCATTTTTTTTTTTTTTACCAAAGAGGGAAAACTAAAGGATGCTTTGAAGGGTTAGTCTATTACTGTGATTTTGACAAGAGTAACGAAATACAAATTACAGACAGGAGGTTTGAGAAATATCTGACAATATATTCAAATAAGAAGAAAGTAAAACTTACAAGTTACGAATAAGCACAGAGACGACTTTCATTCTCGAGCAGCTAGTTCCATTTCATTCTGGACATCGACTTCAGAATCACGGACTCTGATACATTTTTTATATATGATTAAAGCAGTGACAAGAGCAAACATGGCAAGAACAAGCAAAGCGAGAGTGGTCTCCTTGCCCTTGAACTCGATGGTTTCACTGGTGTTAATACTCAATTTTGATGACGATGAGCCATTTTTTGCCTCCATTTTTAGGTCAAAGTTAACACCATTAACAAAATGCTTTGCATCTAAAGAAATGCAGGAGATTAAAACTTGAATAACCAAGGTGGAACTGGACTAGCAAGGACTAAGGAATGAGGAAGAAGGCTTGAAAGATGGAATAGGACTAGTATGGATTGAGGAATGAGCAGGAACGCTTGGAAGATATGAGGATTAATAAAGACTTGAGGAAGAAAGGAAATGAGCACAAAGGCGTTCGCGTTTTCCAAGTATATGAAAATGACATAAAAATGAAGGATGGATAATGTTATATGTCACATCAAGTATGAGAGATGGACAACGTTATATGTCTCATCAAGTATGATGGACAATGTTATATGTCTCATCAAGTATGAAAATGGACAATGAAGTCGAGGAACCAACTACTATATTGAATCTAAGTTTTTTTTCATAGAATATATTTTATATATTATTAATATATATGAATATAAATATAAATATAGATATGTATATGTGCAAGCAATGTACTAACAAAATGTGCATGTTTTCAAAATTAAAAATTTTATTGATTTATACCAATATATAAAGAAACATAATACATTAAATAAATTACTTTATTTAAAATTGTGAATCTTTCTTACAATTGTAAGTGATTTTTTTTTAAATATAAGTAAATTAATTGTTAAACAATATATATTTTTTTACCAAAACAAGAAAAATAAACTATATAATTAAAAGAATAAAGTTTGAAACTTTAATTTAGAAGTTAAGATGTTTTTTAACCTTATAAATAAAGTGGCTCCAATTTGAATTTTGTCTTAAAAAAATTACACGATGGAGAAAAAAAATCTAAGATAGAATTAAATAAAGAATCATATGAAAAAGTGGAATTGTAATCAATTAAAAAGCATATAAAAATATGTTTAATACTTGATTGGAGATCTTTAATTTTATTTTAGAAATTAGAAAGTTAATTTGGTTTTTATTAAATTTATATTATTGTGATTTAACCCTTATGACAAATTTTTTAATTTAAAAAATTTGTAGATAATGATATATTAATAAATAAATAAATAAATAAATAAAATGATTTTAATATATCTTAATTTCAATTAATAAAACTAAATTATGAAATAATATAAAAATAAATAAAATTAACTATTTTAATTTGGGGAGGCATTTAATTTTATCATAACATAAATTTTAAAAGAATTTAAAATTTGGGGGGGGGGGGGGGGGGGGGGCAATACTACAGTCCGCCTAGAAATTCTACCGCGATCAAAGCATGTCATGTAGCTGTCGGTAGATGAAATTCACCAAAGATCAATGGCGGACATAGCTTGGAGGGGCTTGGCCCCACCAAACATTTTCAACACCCTATATTATATATACTATAATTATTCATTTAAATTAAATTAAATTAAGTTGGCTCACATTAAAATTGTTATTTGTTAATTTTATACATTATAATTTTAAAAAAATAAAATCATATTATAGTTTGTCTATTCATTGTATCAATTATTCACAAACCCTTAAAAATAATATACTCGTTATAAATATTAAATCACACTTATATACACTCTAAAAAATAAATTAATTTTCTAGTTTTTTCAACAAGATTTCAAATATTCAACACGCACTAAAAATCTATTATTTTTCCTTTTAGTTGAACACTTATCTTTTTATATCTTTACAATCATTTTCAATCTTTTTCCATCTGATAAAATCCAAAATGAACAATTTGAAATTTTCAAATTCTTCATTTTTCTTGAAGTATCTGTATTTAATACGTATATAATAAAAATAAATATAAAAGTTGAACAATTCAAATACATATATAAAAAAATATATTTATTTAAACCCAAACTCAAGTCTAACACTTACTATGAGTTCAAATAACATAACAAATATATATATATATATATATATATATATATAACTTGGTCCCTCCAAAATGAAACATCAAGATCCGCCACTATCTGTGATCAAAGTATATGTCATGTAGCAGTTGATAGAAAAAATTCATGTACAACCGTTAGGGTTCAATTAGATGGCAATGAAATTGATTTTAACAAAATTAAAAACAACGAAAGAGATAAAATTAATTATGATGAAATTAAAATTAATAATAAAAATATATGTCTGGATATAAACATAATAATAATAATGATAAAGTGAATTGCGACAAAAAGAAAAAGAATCACTAATGATATTATATTAAAATTTGTTTATAATAAAAATTTTAAATTATTTAATATTTATAAAATTAATAAATTATTTTTATGGCAAATAATAATTTTTTAATTAATAATTAAAAATTAATAAAATAATAGTTTATTATATAACAAAATATTTTTGTTTATTTATTAATTCATAATATAATAATAAATTTTATTTGTTATTATAAGTAAATAATGACTGAGGAATGAAGGAACTGAGAAGGCACGCGTTAGTGCTCCATAGGTATTATGTCATGATTAACCCTTGAGTCCTTGACGTGTTTAACAGAAATGTATGAGGTGACAGTTAATCAATGAAAATTTGACACTTACTAATATTATGTATCGAATACTTGTTTTAGGGTTTTTTTTTTTTAATTTTTTAAAGGATAAAAAAACTATATTTATAAATAATAAAAATATAGTCATGCATTTATTCATAAATTATATAAAATTTGCTTATTTCGATTTTTATTTTTTCCCTATTTAAAGTGTCAATGGGACATTTTTATGTTTCTTTCTCTTTTTTTACTAACTTTTTAGTTTTTTATTTTTAATTTAAATAAAATTATAAAAAGACCCAATTGAAAAAATTTTATTTTTTTATTTTAAAATCTAAATTAAATTGGGATGAATAGAGTTTTTTAAGAGAAACAAAATTGAGAACGGAAACGTACTTAAAGTGATATTGCGACACTTATTTCGAAGTATATATAAAAATATATATTTTATTATTAATTTAAATTTTATATTTATATATATTTTTCAACTTAATTTAAAAAATTAACATTTTAAATTTGATTAAGGTGCCATATGACACTCTCTATGAGTTTCATTTTCATTTTTATTTTTTTAATTTTTTTGTTTTTATCTTTTTTAATTTTTAATTTTTAAAATTATTTTATTAAATAAATTTTGTAAGAATATTAAATCAATTGAGATATCATGTGTTATCGCCACTTGGTGTTTTTACTTTTCACCTTTTTTTCTTTAACGGAGGTAAATTTTACAATAAAAAAATCAATAAATAAAAATGACAAAACAAAAAAAGTTTTACTTACAATAATACAAACACTTAATCCAGAGTGGATAAAAGATGGTTATCACCTAAAAATAATATAGTTATTACGTGACATAATTTAAAAACTTTTAATAAAAATTAAAAAATTTTCTTTTCTTCCTCTTTCTTCTCTCTTCTGTTCCCTTACCTTCCTCATCTTTTAAATAAATTAAATTTACTTATGAATTCCATTTTACGTGAGGTATCAAATAACTCTTCAATAATTCTATTAATTCAAAGTTAATCCTATTGAGAATACTTTTTGTTTCTCATAATTACTTTAAATAATATTATTAGTCTAGTAATAATATTATTTTATTATTTATCGATTAAACACATATAGTTGCTAACATGAGAATATAAAAAAAATTAAAACGGCCTTTTTTTCTACTTAGTTTATATATATTATATTTTCTGATTGAAAGTAAGCGTTTACTAACATGAGATTTACTTCATTGGTAAGGGAGAAAACAACTTCCAAGTCGGAGGATTAAGCTTAACACCATTACAAGAGTGACAAGACAAAAATTATAAATTTGATAATTTATGTCATTGTATTATATAAAATATTATATTTTATATAAAAATTATATGTTTAATTTATATTAATATAAAAATATAAAATATATATTTTAATTTTATTAAATTTATTTATAATTTTTATTAAAATTTTAAATTATATTATTTTTATATTTTTTATTCTTATCATTTTATATTTTAGATTAACAAATCCACGAAACCGATTCGTGAACAGCGTTGTTTCATCATAAAAAATCCAACACTAAGGCAATAAATCTTGAAATCACAATGCCCGCACCCAGGCTGGAATTAGGTACCTTTAATTTAATGTCGATCCATTAGCATTAGACCAACCAATTTAAATGTGGAGAAAGCGAAAAAGGCAGAAGCTTAGGAGTGAAATCTAAACCACTTTCGCCATCGACGACAACAACAACGCTCCAACTTTCGAACCTGTAATCTCCCTTTTCTATCTATCTTCACAATATTTTCTTTCTTTGAATCAATTTGTTTGACATAATTTTTTTTAAAGGATTTGATTAGAGCCATTTTCAAGCACATTTGGGCCAGAAAAGCTCAAGGTTTGCAATTCCCTCTCAACCTTTCATTTCCCCCTCATTCCAAAGCGTGAAAGAAATGAAATGGAAAACACCAGGCCGAAGACTGTGAGGTACTTTCCTTTCCTTCACATTTCCCAAATTCTTCACTACAATTTTCATTTTCATTTTCATTTTAATTTATTTCATTCATTTTTTTTATTTAATTTCAGGTTGGAGCTGGAACATCCAAGAAGAATCGACCCACTTCCTGTAATTTCTCTTCCTATTTATATTTTCCATGCATAAATAAATTTTATCTTCTTTTTTTTTTAATCTTACATTATTTACTCTACTTGATTGCAGCTAATGCAAATGCTCTAAAGCTGAGTTGTGAACTTCTTCGAATTTTTATTACAGGTTCTTGTCAAATTCTAGTGCTTATTTGGGAATGTAAATATAAAATAAATATGAACCCAAGGTAGTGCAATTGATTCATGAAATCAAAAGGTGGCATTCCGCAGGTTTGGATTCAAATTCTAGAACCTGCAACCCTTTCCATTGTGATCTATTTTGTTTTAAAAAAAATGGCATTTTGTAATGAAAGAATGAAGCATCTTTTTTGTTTTATGACAGGGTCTGTGCAGCGAGCTTCTACAATTGCTGAAGCTGAGGGTGGTACTAAGATTGAAGCAACTCATTTAGAAAGGATTCTTCCTCAATTACTTCTTGATTTTTAAGGTGCTTGTTAATGCCTTTGCTTTGCCTTTTTCTAGGTATATATGGTTTTTGCACGATGAAGTGTGAAGGATATAGTTTAATTAGGCTACTTTTTGGGTCCAATTGGCAAGAATAGCAACTGTAGGAAAATAGAAAAAAAAAGTACTAGAATAAGATGAATCCGATGTTGCATTTGAAGCTTTGTTGGCGAAATTAAACCCATTGTGAATCTTCAATTTAGCATTGGTATTCCCTTTTAGTTTTTGGTGATGCTCCCTAATATATGGATTATTGTTGTGCTACAATGGACAGGATCCAGAATTCAAAACGCGCTTTTACCCTGTGGAGGATTTGTTTGATGAGGTTTTTTATGATGGCTGGCTGGTATACACTACTACTCTTCACGTGTTACCTTCCAGGTAATAGGAAATTTGTATATGGGAAATGTAAAGTATAAACGCATTGACATAAAAGTATTATTGGTTGTGTTATCCAGTGATATCTGAAACAATTTATTGTGATGTTTTTACAGGAAATTAAATTGCAAATGAAAAAGATATGTTAACGTTCTTGCCTTCCTATTTAAACATGATGTTCTCCGGCAATCCTATTCTATTCCAGTCGTTCCTCTTCATGTGAACTGAATTACTTTTAGTTGGTAAAGATAAAACTGTCATCTAGATAGGACATGTCTTGATCCTAAAAGAAACATACAGACTTATTACATCTTTGTTTCCTTTTGCTTGGCTAATTGACCAAGTGCAAAAAAATCGGTTGCCCCAGAATGACTGTGTATTATAGGTTTCTTATTCATCTGTACCAAGTTTTGTATTTACCACATTGACCAAGTTATGTTCTTTGTACTTAGTGTGCAATTTGACCAACGAAAATGCAGGTTATGTTCTGCTCAAAATTCTAATTCAGCTGGGTAAAACCAAAGTCATATCAGATATATTTCTTACAATTATGACAGCAACCTGTAACACATCAGGATCATATGCGGCAAAAGAAAGAAAAAGTAAAAAGTAAAAATTAAAAAGAAAAGCATTAAGCATAAACTACTACTTGGGGTAACATTCTTCATCACTTGCATCATTATTAGTTCTTGATTTGAGACAACATGCACCTAACATCCTTACTGCTTGGTCTCTCCTTTGGATCATCCAAAGTGCAAAAGTAAGCAATCTTCAGAACCAAGATCATTTGTTCTTCGTACCCTTTTCCCAGTAGTTTAGGATCAATTGCTTGAGTGGGATTGCCTGAGGTCATGATATTTCTCATCCACTTGATCAAGCTCATCTCATCGGTGTGTTGAAAGAACTCATCAGACGGAAGCTTTCCCATTACCAAAACCCCGAGTATAACCCCAAAGCTATATATATCACATTTGTCGGTGAACTTGAGTGTCTGATGATACTCTGGTGCTATATATCCCACTGTTCCTGCCAAATTCGAAGTGGTTACATGCGTGTTAGCGTCAGGCATTGCCTTTGCTAGCCCAAAATCTGCAATTCTAGCTTCCATGTCATCATCAAGAAGGATATTTCCTGGTTTGAGATCTCTGTGAATAATACGTGGACTGTGGTACATGTGAAGATATTCAAGTCCAGCTGCCAGTCCTTTTGCAATCCTCTGCCGAACAGGCCAATCAAGCTCCCTTGTCCCTTCTGAAACTTGCAGTAAGATATCTTGCAAGCTTCCATTCTTCATGAACTCGTACACAAGGTAATGGCAGTCGGGTCGAGAAACATGAGCCAACAACGGAAGAAGATTCCGATGTCGAATTTGACCCACTGTGGTAATCTCTGATTTAATTTGACGCATTTTCTTGTTCAGAAGCTTACTATCTTCATCAGTCAATTCAGCTGCGTCTTTTGGAGGCTGAATAATCTTCTTTATAGCAATCATCTTTCCATCACTTCCTGGTAACTCAGCCTTATAAACTTCTCCACACCCTCCTTTTCCTATGATCTCCAAGTCAGACAAGCCATCTTCTTTCTCTAAAAATGCCAAGTCCTCAGCTTTCTTAATCAATGGACTGAATATGGACGGACCTGAATCTTTTCCTCCACCTCTTATGGCTGCCAAAACCAGCTTAAACATCACGGAGAAGATAAATCCAGATATGCTCCCAGCTACAGCTCCAGCAACGAATCCTAAAAGCCATCCCATTAGCTTCCTTTTCTTATTTTTGTGTTTGTGTCCAGTTGGTGTTGATGAATTGGGACCTTCAGCAGCTGCAGATTTGCTTCCTGTTGGTGATGGTGATGGAGCTGGAGCAGTAGTTTTGATATTTCGTGAGTTCTTCTCTGCAAAAATGTACCGTTTGGGGTACTGAGATACTGCTGATTCATCAACTGTGCTCATTAATGGAGCTGAACCTTCAAGTAAACTGTTTCCTGAGAAGTCGAAGAATCGAAGGTTTCGAAATGAACGTATAGATGATGGGATTTTCCCGGAAAATAGATTATTTGCAAGAGAAAGACTTTCCAAGTTGGGAAAATACTTCAAGAAACTCAAGTCCCCCGAAAACTTATTGGAAGAGAGATCGAGAACTCGAAGACGAATCAAGGAAGACAGATTCGATGGTACCTCACCGGAAAACAGGTTGTTTTGGAGGTCAAGAACTTCGAGTTTTTTACAGTCAACAATTTGGGAAGGGACTTGGTCAACAATATTGTTGTGAGAAACAGAGAGCTCTTTGAGCTCGGAAAGCTTCCCAATTGCAGGAGACAGAAACCCATCAAGCCCTTTGGACTTGAACACAAGCCTGGTGACTTTAAGGACATAGGTATTGTTCTGGGTGAGCCTTCTTTCACAGAAAACACCAGCAGCGCTACAAGGATCGCTAGCAGGGAACTGTTGATTGCTGATGCCCAAGTTTTTGACAATTGTGGAGAGAGCTTTCAAGTCTGAACGATCAGGAGTTAGCTTTGCATGGGAGATAAAGAAGAGAGAAACGAGAGTGAGGAAGGGAAGGAAGTGATTGTGGGTTTTGTCCGGAGAGAATGCCATTCTTGTGGCGGATTAAGGCGGTGCTGGTGGCCTGATGCAAAGAAACTTCAATTTTTTCATGTTTTTATAAGCTCATACCGTGTGGAAAAACGTGGTTTTGGTGGAACCCATTTGAGTTGATTTCTGATTTTCCATGCCAAGGGCTCACAACCAGGTGATTTCTCATCAAGTTCTGGTGTTGTTTGATAAGCTAAAACTAGGGAGTTTTTAATATGAGTTTAATTTATATTAGGTTGATACTAAAATGTAAGTTTTACATTTTACTTATTTAATTAGACTAGACTTGATATGGCATAAAAATAATACGAATTAAAAATAAAAAAATGATACAATTTAAAATTTAAACAAAAATTATATACAAATTTAATAAAATTAAAAAAATATATTTCATATTTTTGTATTAATATAAATGATTACACATAATTTTTTTATAAAATATAATATAAATATATAAATTAATAATATTTTATATGACACAAATATATAAATTATCATATCTAAATTTAGAGTTATTTAGAGAACACGATGAGATAATTTCAACAAAATTATGATGGTCATTTTATTCATTGAATTTTTAAAAATTTAATCATCAAACAAAATTCAAACACAAAAAAAAAAGTCACATTACACAATAGACAGAACTTTGCATGAAGAGATCCAATTATTATTTTGGTTTGCATCAAATCAACCCTTTAGGTCATCTAATTAATGCAGATTAATTCATTTAAAAATATTAACTAGTTAAGAAAAATAGAATGGTAAATACAAAGAAGATAAGGAACAGTACTATTAAAAAAAGTCTATGGTTTATCAAAAATGCAAAACTCTTAAAATTGGCTTAAGCATAAATAAAAAATAGAAAAACTCTAACATGGATTGTAGACCATTGTCTTGTTTCTCCAAAGATATAATTCTTGCTATCTTTCATTCCCTACATATTATAAGTATTCAGAAATTTTCTTTTGTACTGATTTAATTTTGATATGCATAGGATGAAATCGATAATGAAATAATGACGAAATCCATACAAAATAAATTTTGATGTTTAATTTAATTAATTTATATAATTATTTTTAAAAAATAATATTTTATTTTTATAAATAAAAAGTGCCTTATACTATAGGAGTAATAATGGTTTGGATTAAGTTCAATATTTTTAAATAATAAATAGTATTATAAATTTTTAAAAATTTGATCTAAATTTAAATCGAATTTAATATATAATTATATTTAATTTAATTTTTTTTAATTTTTTTGTTTCGATTTGAATTTAATATATATATTTGATATCCAATTCTAATTTGAATAGAATAAAAAAATCAATCTAAATCAAATTAAATATTATAATTTTAAACTAATTTTTATTTATTTAAATTTTTTTCTCACCCTATAAATAAAAAGATACCAAATCAAGGATGCAGAATTCTTCAATTGACAAAAAGAGGAAAAAAGCACAATTAATTAAGTGTGAAACTTTTTTTTTTTGTTTATAATTTCTTTATTATTTCCCTAAAACTATCAATGATCCGAATTGTAATAAGACAAATTCTCAAGAATTATTCTGCACTTTTTCTTCTTTCTCCAACGTTAACCCCACGCCATAGAAAATATACTCAAGCCAAGTTCTAGGAAATTTTCTGACAAATGTATGGCCACTTGGGCTGGTCATGTCAACAAAAGAGTGTTAGTCTTTCTTTTGTTTTCACGAAGTTGCGTTGAAAATGAAATAAGTTACAATAAAACCTTTTTAATGATAGAACATAGATATTGTACATAAAAAATATAAAAATAATAAAAATATATAATTTTATATTTTATATTTTTATATCAAAATAAATTATAACACATCATTTTTATATAAAATATGATATAAATATATAAATTTAAATATTTTATACTATATAAATATATAAATAATCAAATTTAATTATAATTGTTCTAACAAGAGCTGCTTATGGTTTCGACTATTTGCACGGTACAAAGAATTTGGTTTAGACTCAAATATCTTTCGAAGCTCCAATTCGGTTTGATTCAAATTATTATTTAATAAATAAAAATTATTTTTATTTAATTAAATTTAAAAATATTTAAAATATTAATATAAAATAATTTTATTAATATTTTAATATTTTTTAAAAAATAATTGGATCTATATAGATTCTAAGAATCAAATTGAACAAAATTTTAAATAAATAATTTCAAAAAACTAATCTAATCTGATATAGACTAAGTCATAACCAAATCTAATTCTCACTGTATTAGCAAGCGATAATTATCATTTTCTTTCTTATTATTTTAAATAACCTCCCAACTCCAAAATTCCTCTAGTAGTGTTCCAAAATTCCAAAGTCTGTTACGTTTCATTTACTTTCGAAATAATTAAGTCTATTGACTTTAGTAAACTATAGTTTACTTAGAAAAAAAAAATAATTTTAAAAAAATTCTTAATTTTGTTAAAAAATTTCGGAGATATTCAATTTTGCTTTCATTATTTTAATTTTTAAGTTTTATTCAATTGATATTTTTATCATTTATTTTTATTTTTACTAAAAAATAAATAAAAATAAAAAACAAAAACTTTAACCAAACTTAATGTTTCCATTATTATTATTAATGCAACATATCAACACAGATAAATACAATGATGATTGAATTACTTTTGTTACAAGGTATTATTCGCTTTAAGAGATCAAAGATTTATCTTCACGATTTTACTATAATAAAAAAAAATTGATAATTATTTTTATATATAATTATTTTTATATATACCTATATACTTGATAAAATAAGTTTTATATGTACAAAATAAACTTTCCAATCTATTTTTTTATTGAAAATAAAAAGAATAAAATACTAAAAAAAATTAAAATTTGTCCATTAAACATTGAAAAAAAAATGATAAATGTTAACGTAGTAAAATTAAGAGTGTGGAGCCAGAAAGACCCACTTTTCTTTCTTCAATTAACCCAAAATGTGGAGTAAGCAAAGACTACCAAAGACAAAACAATTCGGCATGTTTCACACTCGCCAGTCATGTTTCACAATCGACTGAAAATTCCATCTTTTTCTTGCCGTCCTTCTCGGGGAATTAATGTGATTAATAAAACACTTTTGCAAGTTGCCTTGCATATATGTTCAAGTCCTTATCAGATAAAAAATAATAATTGTGTTAGGGGTACTTTTGGCTCTAAAAGTAAATTAATTTTTCACTATCAACAGATAATTAGATATTTTTTTTTATTTTTGAATTATTTTAATATGTATAATATCACGTCAGTTCGATTATATCATTACTTTACCCATCACTTATAAATAAAATTACTTAAATATTATTTATCTTATCTCTTTTCTCTTGTTCCCTTTACTTTTCGGTCTCTTTTAATCTTCTCTAATTGATCTTTGATTTGAGCGTCGAAGAACAAAAGCAAGAAACACTCTCTCCCTTTGTTTTTAATTGTTTTCCTTTTTTTATGTAATTTTAGGATTTCACCCTTAATTTAGAATTCGACATCAACAAATATGATTAAAAGAAATCAAAATTTTATTTATTATTATCAACAATCGTATAATTTTTTAATAAAATATTAAACTTTTAATGTAGTAATTAGAGTTTGGTCGTGTTATATGTGTTAGTATAATACTTTTAATTTTAATAATTTCGAATACAAAATAATTTGTTCATCCTCTAGCTATGCTTACTGAATTGAATTCAAATTGACATATTACTATTTATTTTTTCTTCTTTCAAATATTTGAGACTCATTTGCCACTTAAATTTCTCTTTTTCTCGTTAGAAAATTGAGATTTGATTTGTTCCCTCAATCAAGTTTGGGGAATTTGAATGGCTTGAAAATTATTTCAAAGTTACTATAATTTATTTTAGCATAATCTTAAGCGAAAGCTGATTCCTTTTTTCCTTCTTTCGTTTGCTTAATTCTTGCTGTATATTCTAATTTTCTCTTTTTGGTTGCACCTAGCTATTCTAATTTACTTGTCTATGTACTGCCTAAGAAAGAACCAACATCTAAAGCAATGAAAATGGTATTTCATGAACTTGAAATTTAATTTAATTGATTTATATAATTATCATTAAAAGATAATATTTAATAGATTTAAAATTTAAATTTCAGTATCTGCGATTTTTTTACCATATCTAGACAACTACTTTAAAAAATAAAAATGGCATCTCACAAAGATTTTATGAATAAAGATGTTCAGCAATTTAAAGATATCAAATTTATGACCGTATTATGGGTAATGGAGTTGTTCATTTGGTTGTAAAAAATACAGTATATTACCGCTTCAGTCACTCCGAAGGCAGAGAAAAACAGTGTGAATAACAAGTAGATTTATGAATTTATGTATTTTTCTTAATTAAAATATTAATGATTTTTATATTCGTATCGATATATTTTTTATTTTATTAAATTTATATATAATTTTTATTAAAATTTTAAATTTTATCACTTTTATATTTTTTTTATATTATTTTCATGTCGTATTTTAAATCATCAAATCTGATAACACTTGAGAATGTAATCACGAACCATATAGAATCAACTGACTAATGAAATCGATATTCAGGATGATTAATGACCATCATGGCGACAAAATAGCGGGGGAACAGAGAAAAGCTATGTTTGTTCCTTGCTTTGTCTTGGGAAGCTTTCTCTTCACTGTCACTGGTATGTTTTTGCCTTATTGGCTTGCTATAAATAGTGGATTAGAAAGACTTGTTTGATGTGTAGCAACCAGATTTTCAAGGCTGCTCCAAGTTGTTGTCTGACCTCTGAACGAGTTATTGCCAGGCCAAAATTTTCTGTTTAATTCCATTGGAAAGCCTAAGCCTCTGCGGTTTTTACCAGTTATTTTATGTGATTTATCTGTATAATCACTATTAGAATTGATCTATTTTGATCATAAAACTGTTAATATTTGATCTAATTCTGTTGTTTGATAGTTAATCATGTTCAAGTCTGTCATTGGATCTTATTATGGAAATTTTGAGAATGTACAACCCAATATAAAATAGTTGGATCAAGATTAGTAATTGTATATTTGTTGAATAAAATTAAAAACTCGATTCAAGCTTGGAATTTCAGGATTGAATAGCTGTAGAATCAAGTAAGACTATTTGTGTTTTAAAAAGTGGCATTCATCACGTTCGGATTTAAATCTCATGCAACTTCTTTCTCTATTTTTAAATTGCGACTTCCTATAAGAAAAGACAAGAACGTGGATTAGAATTTGAAGTTAAGAATCAATCTGATGCAAATAAATTTAATGGCCCTGCACATTTCTTCCAATGATGAACAATCTAGGATGAGGTTTAGTGTAAATATAATCCTTAATTATTGCAAATGGTCAGCTGAGACAGGGAAATACAAACAAGCAGAATATATAGTCACTTAATTCAAGGGAGATTTTCAATTCTACAACCCCTGATGAAAGCAAAGGTATGGCAGTTTGAACGTAGAAATTATGTTGATGGCATGACCAAGATATGGTTACCATATAGACACCTGTCAGCTGTAGAGATGGTTCCTGTAGTCAACCTGCAGTTGCAGACGCCCCTGTTTGAAATTTTCATGTGAAGAAAGCTTGGGATAAAAACAGGTGATATATATATATATATATATATCATATTCGATCTTAGTGGAAAAGGATCAAGAACATGATAAGACCAAAACCGTCAGAAGAGCCAATCTGGGAATTTATTTCAGGCCAAATTTTTAAATTTTGTTTTGATTTTGATAGGAATGATAAACATATCACTATCACCTTGAATCTGAAGACAAACATATTCAATCTGGGAAAGTGTTATTTCCTTTTATTTCTTTTTCCAATCAATTGAGGTAAAATAACTGCTGGCAAATGTATGAAAGCGTAGATGACAGTCATTATCCACCCAATTAACTCAATGATTTATTAAAGGAGTTTCAATGTTGCTTTTTTTTTCTAGGAAACCAGCGCATAATGGATACATAACAGCATTTCCATGATTTATTCCAAGTCTATATACATGGGGAATAAAATTACAAGCTTGCCTGCCTGGTTCAAGTAGTCTGCTCAGGTAAGTTTTTCTTTCTACTTTTTTCCTTCACTTGAACCTTTAAAAATTCCATAATTTAGCTGATGATTGTCACAATTGTTTTGCTACACAGAATATTTAATATTCTGCTTCTGAAAATTATGATTATAGTTAATTAGTTGTGATTTCTGACATTTTAAAAAACAAATCTTACATTTCTGATAATTAAATTAAGAATTCAGTTCTTTAGAACTTGCCGTCAGTTGTCCAAAATTAAATTTTAATCTTTAAAATTAAAAGTTCATTACTCTTAGATTTGGTTTACGGGAAGCTTTAAGCCCTATTCAGTTCTTTTAGCCTCCATTTCAAAGTTCAAAGTTCAAACGCAAAGAAGGGACTTCTGCTTCAAAAGAAGGCTCCCTAAGCATTATCCCACATTACCGGTGAAAGAAACTGAACAAGAAAAGAAGACTAGCCTGAGAGAGCTCAGAAAACTCGTTATTTTAGCAAAGTAATCTTACAACAGCACACTTTCATAAAAACCAGCTACCTAAGACTCTTCAACAACCGATGACGGTTGATAAGATCCTAAACGTTACTGGTGTCTCATAAACATGACCACTATAATAGCAAGAGAAAAGCAAATACAAGCATTAGATGTTGCATTCTATAAAGTGATTGTTATTCTGATATCTAGGCAATGATCAAACGTCTTGTTTTTTGGGTTTACTCAACACAGCAGCGATACATGAAATACATCTCCATAGGACGTCCACACTCAGCACAGACCACCCTCTCTGCAATTCCGCCACTGATACCTGGAAGGATAAGGCGGGTGCAGTGATGATCGTCGGTAATCCCTTCCAGGTGCCTCCGGAGTGCTGGAATAAAACCCAATTCTCTAGCAAGGTCTTCCCATTTTCCAAAACTTTGCATGCTACTTAGAACTTTGTCTCCCTTGGCTCTCACCATTTCACTTTTTCCTAGAAAGAATACTGCCCATCCATTATGTTCGCTGCCATCGTAGCCAAGTAGTGACATGACCTCCTGCTTTATAACATCAATTTCATTGGTCTTGCCATGTTGGGTTTTCGAGAACAACATGCTCTCCAACCGCTTCCAAAAGAACCACACAGTGTTATCTTCCCAGGCGTGACTAAGATGATTTTCATTGATTAAACCGGTGATCTTTTTCACCCGCTCCTTGGCGTTATTCTTTCCAACATAAACCATCTCTAAGCCAATGGCAAGAGTCTGTGCTACAGTTTTTGTTGCAGAAGTGAAGCTTCGGATCCATTCAATATCTTCACCACCATACAAACATATGAGTCTCTGTTGTGTTATCTGATAAATGAAGCAAGGCATAATCAGAAAGTGAATGAATCAAGCATATAATATTCATGAGAATCAAGAGCTAGACATGTGAAAAGCAAAGCGGTGTCTAAAACAGCATTCTAAATGTGAAATATATATTATGGAGTGTGTTTCTATCTGAAAAGTGTATATTCTGGTATGTTAGAATGTACCCAGGCAGTTAAGTTTGCTTCAAGCCCATCAACAAGTAGGTCAATCGTCCAAGCCTCTGCCTTCCATAGACTTTCTTCTTTCTCAGTGCTGAACGGGAAGGCTGCATTTCCCCATATCCACAACATGTTGAGTGCATTTGGGCATGTCACCTTTCCTTGTGGATCCAATGTCACCACGATTGGCTTCTTTACGAAACGCCATACCTCCCTTGTGTACTTAATGACTGCTGGTTCAATAATGGAAGGGTGGTGCACAGTATACCATGGCATAATTGATTGCAGACTCAAAAATTTTTCCTGATAACTATCATTCCAAGCTGATCTGTCCACAATCGGGAGCCATACAATCTCATACTTAAGCTCAGACGATAACCTGTCATATTTGTACAGAAGCTCAAGAACCTGAATCTCGTCATGGTAGATATCAAGATCTGAAATAAGCAGTAACACGTGCTTTCTTCTCAGTACGTCCATATGAATCTGTTAATTTTTAGCAGCAGAAGAATGCTGTTATACATCCAATTAATTTCAAACAGGGCCTAAAAATAATGAGATGGATCCTTGGAAACAGACCTTGTTCTTATCTGGACCCAAGAGAGAGTTAGGATCTTCCTTGCTGAGCGAGAAAATTTTTATGAGAATCTTCAAGTTGTCTATTTGAGGCGTTTCAAGACTGTGCTTTAGGCCTTCATAAGCTTCTATCTGCTTCTTCTCATCTGCACCACATTATGATCTGTTTTAACACTTTGTTCCTTTGATCGGTAAGTAATAAATATCTTTATCTATTGAACTTCTCAACAAGTTAAATTTTATAGTCTGCGTTACTTAGTTATCAGATAGGCCATGTAAGTCTTTATTTATATCAGATACATGGGTGTTGTTTTCAATTTTTTTTTGGTGTCATCTTCGCATCATGTTACCATGTTGTGTCCAAAATTAACAGATCTATCTTTATTCGCATAATAAGGTAAATAATGGTAGCTATTTTATGGACAGTGTAATAGGTCTTTCTTCCCCTGTTGTGAGGTTTATGGCAAAGAATCAAAAGAGAAAAAGGGCAAAAGAAAAAGTCATGAAGAAAAATTTCTCGAATTTAGTAGCTAATTATATATTATAATTTTGTGTTGATATATCTGAGGACTCACCAATATGCTGATAACAAAGATGTAATAGCTTTCGAAGGTGTTCATGTATGCTGCTAACTTTATGCGCCAAGCTTGATAGTTCCCATGCCTCCGAGGTCGATGTAACGAACCTAAAATCACCGAGAAAGATTGATTACTGGTAAATTTATCGTTTTGGGTTGAGGTAAGCACGTAACAGTTAGAGTCTCACTCTTGTCTCAAGCCTACAAGGCTTGTAATCTGTGCAGCGCAAGCGACAACGCTTCGTATGGTCCAGTAGGCAGCTGTGGGGATATGAGCCATGGCGGTAGACATTGGTGGAACATCGCTCGATATGTACTGAGAAGGTAGCTCCGTGAACTCAACAATGCACTTAGTTACATCCATCATCGCCTTGATGAGTTTGGTGAGTGCATCAAAGTGGGGTTTCAGCGTTTGGGAATGCTCTAAGATGTCTGGCAGTTGCTTGAGGAGAGCTACAGATTTGGCAAGTGAGTTTGTAGTGCAGAGCTGAACAATCAGCCAGAACTCCCCAAAATTCACGGCAAAAGCTGCTAATGTTAGCACCACTTTTGCATCCCATGAATAGCTTGAAAGCGTGTTGAGCAGCACCATTGTTGTTGCATGAGCATCTCCTCCTCCTGTGCACTTGCATGATATCTGCAAATACATTTAAACACAATTATCCTCCTCATCCTGATCACTAGAGTAGAAAAGAAGGGTTAAACATGAAATTTGTGAGGGCCAGTTGATACTCATCCTAAGAGACACAACATATAGATGTTATATTGTTTTTTACAAAAGAGGTAGCAGCAATATGAGAATAGGGTAAAGAGGTTATGATGGCTGAAATTTGAACTTCAGATCTATTAGTTACCACCACTTAAGATAACTAAATGATCTAACCTTTTAATAAAAGCATGATATGTTTATCTATCACCATTGATAAAGAAAAGAAATTGCCATAAAAGATATATATATATATATTATTTTTATATTATATTATTATATATAGTAAGTCAAAATCAGCAAAGGTATCTGTTTAAGGAACTGTAATGGAGATAGTAAAGGTTGAGACTCCAAAAGAAAAAGGTATGTAGATATGTATATTATAAGATCCTTGCAGCCAAATAACCTCGCAGGAGATTTTGTGTATGATATAAGCCAATGCTTCAAGAATGCCATCAGTAGCAGCCGGGCTGGTCCTATCATCAATGGCATCCACGTGCCCCTGTCCACCCTACAAAAAAAAAAAAAGGTGAAAAGTTAAATACCAAGTAATAAAGACTTGTCTATGTGAAAATTGGAAAACTTGGCACTATACCTTTAGAGCATGATCTATGTTAGGAGTGATATTACGCAAAACGTCGTCAATGATTTGGAGAATGGGTTTGACATCAACTTCACGACCATCAGGGGCATGAGTCGACTGAATTTGCTTCATCATGGCACTATCATCAGATGCCGAGAACATTCGGCGCTCACTCCTGAGCAGTTGCTGCGATCTCGAAGCCTGTGACATGTGGTTTGCCATATTTGGAAATGTTGGATATATGCCAAGAAGTGATATTAAAGTACTTAGTGCATTATCAGGTTTATATAGAGATTACAGATAGGCAAATGGAATACAGCCAGCCTGAATTATGCCTTGCTTGCAAGAGCAGTCTTTGAAAAAGCCAGGGGGCCTGTGTATTCGGATATAGGATAATATAAATATTGCCACCAATGGCCCCACCCCCCAAGCTTTTGTTTGCACAGCAAAAAGTTAAAGAAACCGGCAATGGCATCTACCCAGCGATGGTTTTTCCTGTCAAGACGTACTGGTCTTGGAAGATTAAGCTGTTAAAGGGAGTTTAATTTTACCTTGTGACATCACAAAGGCCATGTCATTATCATGACCTAACCTGCTACTTCCTGTGGTGTGGGATTACATTTCTTTTCTTTTTCTTCACATTGTTACTCCTCAAATGGTGTCCCACTTCAGGTTAGAGCTAAAGATAAATATACTTTAATTAATTTTGATATAATCCCTGCTGCAGTAAAATCATGGAGCATGGAAATTATTGGTGATTCCTTTATTGCTTTACTTTTTATTTATTTATTTATTTATTTATTTATTGATTTATTGCATTCAAAGTTATCAAAAATCGAACTTTGATAAATGGATCTAACATTTCAGCATTCTATAAAAAGAACAAAACTATTGGTTTAATTATAAATAAATAATACTTAAGTAAGAAGAATGAAGCTTTTGGCATCAAACTATCAAGATGGAAAGTGCCATGTGATTTAAAACTCTGTTATTATATGCCAAAGAATGCTAAAATTAGAGCTAAATATGTCCCACTGAGGCATCTAATTCCAGTTTCTTCTTTCTGCTTTCTTTCTTTTTTTTAATTTTTGAATTTATGCATGTTGGGCCAAAAATTCGAGGCAAAGATCTTTGGCCAAAAATAAAGAAAAGAGGCGAAGATATATAGCCTAAATATATAGATTCAAATTAAAAATTGTTTTCAATTAATGAGAAGATATATTGAAGAAGTTATAATTTATTTCTATTTTTTGCACAATGAAATTAAGAAGTTTGTTTATGAAGAAAAAAAAATTAAATTTTATTAGTTGACACCCACACAATAATTCATATGAAACATGCATATGAGAAATAATAAGATTAATTGATATATAAAAAGTTCTTCCTCTATAAGAGCACTTTTTAAAATTATTATTAAGTAATTTATTTATTTTTGCATTAAAATTCATAATATTAACTATCAATTATCATATTTAATATGAAAATTATTACAACTTGACAATCACATCATCACGCCATTTCATCATATAACGTATATACGTATATATAATCTCAAGATAAACAATTTTTTATACAAATAATCAAATTAATATTTATAAAATATGAAATTAAGGATGAACAAACAAGAAATTATTTTTATTACTCTTTACTCTTTTCTTCTCTATCATATTCTTTCTTTATTTCTTTTAAATATTTTATTGATTAAGTATCGAAATTGAAATCTTAATTTCGGTGTTCCAAACTTTATTTTATTGATAAATTTGATAAGCTCACCAATTCAACTTCCAACTAATTCTAATTTTACTAAATCCAGAAATAAAATTTTAATTAACTTTGAAAATTTCTCTTAAGATTCTGGTAACAAAATCTTTTTAATAGCAATGTCCAATTAACCTATTTACCAAAGCCTTATGAAGCTACCCTTTTTTTTTCTTCTTTTTTCAAGGTCAAAATAAATCTTATTAACTTGAGCTCTCATATGATTTAAATAGTAAGGATTCGAGATAACAAGCGCTTATGGGCATTGATTAAGGTTAATTAAAATTTTATTTTTAAAAAAAATTTACATTTAACCTACCATTTTCACCAAATTTAATAAGAGATAATGCATTAATTATAATTTTTTTTAAAATATCATTTTAATGAGTGAGAAACGATTGTATGAAACAATTATTTTATATCAACATATGTTCATTTTATTCAAATCACATTATATAATCATATAATAAAAAAATTATTTATTTATTAGACATTATTTATGATAATTAAATAATGAATATTAATTTCAACGAGTTCATACGTAAATGATTAATTTTTTTATTAATATACATAATTTAAATAAAATATATATACTAACGTAAAATACTTGTTTCATATGATCATTTCTCTTTAATAAGTAATGTTAAAAATTTAAACCCTAAAAAGTTGGTATTCAATAGCAAATCATTATCACTTAGAGTAGGCCCAATATATCTCCATCATCATTGGTCCAAGATGTAGAATTTAAGAAGAAATCAAGTTAATGCCATCCACAATGAACCCAAAAAAGTTCCATTACTGTTGGGCCACGGCATAGAATTCAACAAGAAACCATTTAAACAACCTACAATAGGCCCAAAAAGTGCCAATGGGCCTTCAAATCTCCATCAATATTGGGCCAAGACAAAGATCCGGCCCTAAAAACAGCCCAAGAAACTAGACACATTAGAAAATGAGTCAGTTCCCCAATAACACCCATGAAGAGCGTTGCAATTAAGGCCTAGTGGAGATGGCTAAGAAGACCGGAATGGGTGGAGATAAGAGGTGATAATTGTTTGAATGAGATCGAATTTGATTTTAATTTTTTAAATAATATATAATATTATTATTTTTTTAAATTTAATTTGAATTTGAATTAAAAAATTTTTTAAATTGCTTTGATTTGATTTAAATTTTATCAATTCAGTTTAGTTTATTAGTTTTTAAATTTTATTTTTTTATTTTTATATATTACTTTAATAAAAAATTTTAATATATTGAAATAAATTTTTATACAAAATAATTATTTTTATTTTATAAAAATTTAAAAAGTATATAAAAATTAATAAAATATATTTTTTTATTCAATTATATTTATTTTTTATATTTTGATATGAAATCTAATCCAACATAATATATATATTTAATATTTAAATTTGATCCGAATTAATGGAATATTATGATTTTAAATAGATTTTTCATTTTTAAAATTTTTTTTACCCCTAATAAATATGATACTTTATATCCTTCATTTTAATATTCATATTCATTGTCATATTGTTAAGGGTAATATTTTGTATATCCAATTTTAATTAAAGAAAAATAGATAATTCAAATAAAATCGATTGTCTAATTATAATATAAAAATTCTAAAAATATACATGCAATCCAATAAAATTAAGTAAAAAATTAGTTATATTTTTTAATAAACCAATAAAATTTTTATAAAAAATCCTTAAAAGCATAAAAAAGGTTCTTTAAATAATAATATAATGTTCCTTAAAAGCATTAAAAGCATAAAAAGGTGATTTGTAAAATATTTTTATAATTTATATATTTTCATAATAGATTTATTATTTGAATTATTAAAAATAAAAAATATATACTTTATATATATCGAATATCAAATTATCATTGAGATAAATATTCCATTTTTATACCTTAACTCAATTATATTCAAATCCGATAATCTGATTGATATAATTAAGTATAAAATTGTCATCACACTCATATTTATTTAATTAAAAAACGGATAATTATGGATTCGAATGGAATATCATCCATATCTGGATTTTATGTTGAATGGAAAGTGAGGGAAAAAGCGAGAAAAAAAAATAAAAAAGCAAAATTATGAATCTATCCACAGCAATAGCCTATGGATACCGCTATTGTGCGCCAGCAATAAAGCAACTCTTATACTACAGTATCTTCCTTCCTCTTCCTCACCATCACCGTCACCATCACGGTCACCATCTTCAATGATGCTCTCCTTCTTCTGTGTTTTATTCTTCCTTTAACAATCTTAAGCTCCCTAACTTCAATCTTCTTTTCACGGGTAACTCTCCAGATGGAGGTACCCTGCTCTTTCCTTTTCTCTTTCTCCCTCTCAGGCTTTACTTTTATGCTTAGTTTTTTTTTTTCATTTTTGTTTTCTGGGTTTTTTTTTTCTTTCTTTCTCGTGATCATGGGAATTGGGTTTTCTTTGTTATGTTCGTTTCTTTACTTAATCTTTGGTTTTTGGTTTTCCTGAAATGATGAATTTGTTGAGTTTTTATTGATTTTTTGGTAAAGATTTTGTTTTATATACAAAATGAAGAAAAGCAATGGATTTTACAGTTTAATAGTATGTTTTTGGAGTAGTTTGAAAGCTGTGTTGACCATGAATTCTGTGGAAGGTCGTTGAGGAAGGGATAGTTTCTGAGAATTGCAAGTGTGATTATCAATGAATTATAAAGAAAACCATATTAAAGAGCCTAAAGAACTATGCTTGTGTGTGTGTTTAAAAATTAAAGGCGCTTTTTGCATTTGAGTAGTGAATTTGTTTGAATTGTTGAACAGGAACTTTTTTGGACGTATTTTATTATGTAGGATCACGTGGGTTTTTCATTTTTCTCTATTTTGATGTATATTGAGACGGTTCATAATCTGGGGATTAAAATAACACATGATACAATTTGATGGTTGATGTGGTGATTTTCAAATTCTGGATATAATATTGGCGCAAAAAAATCACTTGGGTTAGTTCCTGGTACAGGATCCAGTATATGGAGTAGCGTGGGGATGCATGTTTTGCTGCCCATTTCCATTGGCGTTCATTGTACCTTCTTTAGTGATAATATAGCATGTGCTTGGGCCTTGGACCCTTGAACTCAGCCTGTGGCTGCCCCTGTTACGGAGGCCATTGAACTTGGGATGACGTCTACTCCAATGATTTCTTGTTCAACTTCTCTGTCAGAGGTTGCTTTTTTTTTTTTTTGTGACCTGCCTTGAGAATAGCAGTTTTTATGGCCATAGGTGTTTTGATTCAGTGGTAATAATGTAGGAGCAGTTGTTTATTGTAGAGTTCAGTGGTTTTATTTCAGTATTTCTGTTTCATTGCAGTGAGGTGGTTTTCTCTTGATAATTTGAGAGACCACTTTGTTGGGAGAGACCACTTTGTTGGTTTTTTTTGTTTAATTCAATAGTGATTTTGTGTAAACATTTCTCTTGATAATTGTAGTGCTTCTGGAGTGGAAGTGAGATCAACAAGAACAAACCAATTGTGTAGCATTTTTAGCATTATGGAGTGATTTCAGCCAAGAAGGTTGCTGAAGTAATGGAGATTATTGATAGGGTATTATTTGTACCAGATGACATCCCAGCTTATGTTGATAGTCCAAGGGCAATAGGTTACAATGCTGCCATTTGCGCACCTCATATGCATGCTACCTGCCTTCAATTAAAAATTGGAGGAAAATTTGCAGCCTGGCTTGCACGCTTTAGATGTTGGCTCAGGTCTCTTTGCACGACTAAAATTTTCCATTACATGTCTTTTCTGCGCTTTTTTAATTTCTTTCTTATGTATAACTCTGTTGGAGTGCTGGAATATCAAATGCGCCAATAATCCCACTTTGTCAATGGTATTGAGAAAGAGTCAAATTATACGAGTTGATGGTTGCATCGAATCCTCCTTCATTTAGGAAAAGTTTTAGTAAAACCATCAGCCATCCAATCTCAAGTGGCTGATGACTTTATGGCAAGAGAGATGGGTGGAAAAGGAGGCATTTATATTTAATCTGTCTTTATTTATTTTTGGGTTGGTGGGGATTTGGGGTTGTGGGAAGAAAATGGAAGCAGTATAAATTTTCAAGTGTCTAAATGTTTTTTGGATCATTATCTTAGTACTTTTGGCATAATTTGGTCATTGGATGGAGTCTAATATCAACCGGGGAAAATATTCTTATTTTTTTTTTTTGGTGGAAGGCATATAGATATTTTTTAATTTCAGTTATTCATTTGTTCTGTAGGATCTAGGTACTTGACTGCTTGTTTTGCAATAATGGTTGGACCACCGGGTCGTACTATTGATGTGGAACATATTCCCTAATTGGTTGCTTCTTCCATAAAAAATATTGAAAAAAGTGTTGCAGCTCCATTATTGAAAGAAGGTTCTCTTTCTGAGCATGCTGGCGGTATGTACTCATCAGAAACCTGCTATCTTCAAGTATAGTGTGCTCTAAACCATAAAAACAAATTCTCAGTCGAGTCAGTGTATCTCTTGGGATTGAAACGAGTCAGTTGGTTGTCAGTGCCGTACTTTTATTAAAGAACTAATATACCTCTAGTTGATTAAAATTTTTCATGACTTCACTCTTTCAGGATTTTGGAGGCAAATTTGATCATCTAAATCTATTTGAGACTCACTGTTTTGTTGAATGCTTATGACTGATGCCTTGATTATGTACATTGTCATAGATGGAAGAGAAGGTTGGTCAGAATGTGCACCCTATGATGCTATACATGTTGGGGCAGCAGCACCGGAAGTACCTCAGCCCCTCCTTGATCAATTGAAGCCGGGTGGCAGAATGGTGATTCCTGTAGGAAATATATTCCAAGATTTGAAAGTAGTGGACAAAAAATTTGGATGGTTCAACCAGCATTCGAAGTGAGACTTCTGGCCGGTATATGTTCCTTTGACAAGTTGCGATGCTCGGTTGAGGGGTTATTGAGTTTAGTACGTATCGCTTACATGGCTTGTTTGAAAGGCTATTATTTGTCTCCAAGGGTTGGTCATTCTTGAATCCAGTATTGTACGGAATATCATATATTTCATTTCTCTATGTTTGGACTTGAAAATCATTAATTGCAGGGCACAGTTAAAATAATCCGCGTCCGGAAAGCAGTCAACGGCGCAATCGAGAGAATGAAAGATGATTATATTCTTTTGTTTTTCTTTTTTCTTTTTTCTTTTTTCTGCCAAAGTTTTTATAATTTGGGATCTATACATCTCTTTCCAAGTCCTAGGCCCCAACAATATCATGAATTTTTTATAACTACATTTGAGACGAAAGTTCGAATGATTTATGCTTTATTAAAGTGTAGGCCTAGTATCTTAAATGCTGTTTTATCTGATTTTCATAGTGTGTATTCTAATGCTCTGTATCTGATATTTCATGCATGTTAATACCAGAACCAAGATTATTTTTCCTGCTTTGTAATTGAATATGGTCAAGTCGATCCACATCCATTGTCATATAAACTCGGGAGTTTCTTGGCTTAACTCATGATTCAAGTAACTTATTAGTGGTTTGACTCATTTAAACCTCTAGTCCTGCTTGCCTTGCCAGCCTATTTACTTGAATGTTCAGTTCGGGTCATCAGGGTGGTGTCTGGCAATGGTTTCCAACGCTTGATTTTTCACTAAACTTTGCCAAGAACCTAAAGTATTTAACACCCCAACTCACGATCAGAACTGCAGTTATGGACACAAATGTAATATTATTTGACCACGATAAGAATTATTGCTTTGAGGGCAAGCCTTAAGCATTGCATCTTTACGACCAGAAGGTCACGGGTTTAATTCTAGGAATCAGCTTCTTTACAAAAATGCATGGAGAAATCGCGTATTATGAACCCTTGTTTCAACCCTCGCAATACAGACAGCTTTGTGCATCGGGGTTTGCCCTTTTTTATAAGAATTATTGCTTTAAAATGACTACTAAAATGATAAAAAACTTGTGAGCATATAAATTTGAGCCATTAACTTATAACCAAATGAAACCTTCGAAACAAGCTAATTAAAATGATGGCTTCATAACCCTAGATAAAAATATTGCATGCAAATATTGTGCAAAAATTCGAAACTATAAATTTAACCTCGAGAAAAGGAGTAAAAAAGAAAAGAAAAGAAAAGCTAACAGCAGCAGATCATGAATCTAAATCATCTCAGATCAAAAGGAACTTCGCCTTGGCCTTTCCTCTGCAACATTTAGTCTCATTGCTCTTCCATCCAGATTCTGCAATAATATGAGACACTTGTAAGATGTTAAGATATGTGTCTTTGGAATGTTATCAAGGTAAAAGAAATCTATTTCTGACAAGTACTGCTGTTGCATGCGTTGAGTACTGCTTTTCACTGTATGGAGAATTATGTTCATCAACGTTCTAAAGAAATTGTTGTTTGAGAAAACAATCCAATAATACCTGTCCGTCGAGAGCAGCAATGGCATCATTCAATTCAGTCTCTGAGGACATGGTCACAAAACCAAAACCACGTGAGCGGCCTGTCTCCCTATCATAGACTACATAAGCTTCCACTACTTTACCATGTTCACTAAAGACTTGCTCCAGTCGAGCATTATCCACATTCCATGGAAGGTTATTCACAAAGATTCTAAAAGCAGGTGCATACACACGAGGAGGTCGGTTGAAACGTGATCCTCTAGGAGCAGCCCTGTTAACAGTCAAGAGCCTTCCATTCAAATCCTGTTTAAAACACAGATGCAACAATGACTAAGTACAAACACCAAATATAACTTCAGAGCACATTAATGCACAGATAGAAGAAAAATGGAGAACACTTGAGATCAACATATACCAAGCATCACATACTTTCATGAAACAATCTCCTATGACAAAAGGAAAGTGAAAGGGGATTGCAAGACATTCACGTTGTCAATAGATTAAGCATTTTTAGTAAAAAATTAGCAAAATACAGAGTTCTTTAGTCAAAATATACCTTGTATATCATAGACAAAGGTACTTGATAAATAAATAAGAATTGAACATGCAAGAGATCAACAAGGTTGCCTTAGCCTTTATCTTATTTGTTTATTGGTTGTAAAGGGAAGTTAAAGAAAGTTGTAACTGACTATCAATTTCTTTTTCTCCTGCTACCTAAAGCATGCACACAGTCACAGCCCGGATATTCTTAAATTAAACACAAAATACCATCTATTGAAAACGGTTGTCATGGCTAAGTCAAAACTAACTTCGTTCTTGCAAGCATCTAATAGAGGCTACAAATCAAACAAGTACTAACAAAATTTTCACAGCTTATGAGAATTACGGTACACAAACAACAGATATCTCTCAGAAAAGTAAAAACAACAACCGAATAACTTGTAGTTTTGCTACTTGATGTCAACATGTATAATAAAATGCACATTGACTGGAATATTTGAAAGGTTAGAATGCCTGAATATGATATCATATATTGAAACAAACTGTGACAATATGTGCCTTATATGTATCTTCCTAAAAGGACAGTCTATAAACCCTGTCTCTACTATTTGAAAAAAGGGTCTTACAGCCATTCCCCTTCTGCAATTGTTCTATTCTAACTAGCTATCTTACATTTGATCAATCTAATGTCTAATCAACCTGACACCAAAGGAATTATGATAAGGAGAAAAAGTACAAGAAATTGGATAGCTTATCTGGAATATCATGATTAGCAACCTAACTAAAATTCACCACAAAAATTGAAGACTAAAGTCAAAAGAACAGATGAAAATGAAGCAATCTGACCTTAAAATCGTGGTTATGCTTACTTCCACACAGCAATCATCTTGCATAGATAGAACATTTAAAGCATATACAACCTGGCATGCCTATTTCTAAGTTGTAAATTTAACCAAACCAAGCAATATGACTCAACTATTTATGATAATTCCCCAACCACATATAGAATTAACAAATAACTGAGCGAGAGAATACCTTCCAAAATCAATAAAAAAACGTCCTCCATATAATTATCTTTCTTTACAGTGCCGAGTTCGATGCATAACACATTATATATCATACTTGTAAATTCCAATTTTCCCATTTATAATCACAAATATAAGTAAAGCAATAGAAAAAAACTTACATAACGATTGAATAGTTCAGTAGCCTTCTCAGCTTCCTCAATGGTGCTCATGGTTACGAACCCAAAGCCACGACTTTGCTCAGTTTCCCTATTGTAAATAACCTGCAAAAAAAAGGAAACAAAATTTCTACAGTTTTATAACTCAAAAACCAATCAAGAAACAAAGGATTTCAAACAGTTTAAAAGCAGAAACTTCACTTAACCTCAGCAATTTCCACAGTTCCAGCTTTCTGAAAGAGCATAGCCAAACTTTCACTATCAACATCATAAGGCAAATTCCCAACGAACAATTTAGCTTCCCCAGGAGGTTCAGGAGGAGAGTCCTTTTCTTCTGAATCACCACCCTCTCCTTGGAAAACTGCACCATCACCTTCAGGTTCCCAATCAGACAACCTTGCTTCAGCCCCTTCACTGTCCTCATTTTCCCATATTGATTCCCCTTCTTCACTTTCAATTTCATCTTGGACTTGTTGCTCTTGTCCATCAATGGTTATGGTGGTGTCATTTTCTTCCTCTTGTTGAGCCCAACCTGAAGCCTGGGCCACAAAGTGAACTAGAGAATGGAAATGGGTTTTTGTTCTGAGCGTTGAAAAGGTTGGAGAAAGGGAACATGAGAGGAAAAGCTTGATGGGTTTTGGAGGGAGTGAGAGGAGAGATGGAGCTTTGGAAGAAGTGGTGAAGAGGGAAGGGATAGAAACAAGGTAAGATGAGTCTGCCAGGGACATGGGTTTGGCTAAAGCAGACATTTTTGTTGAAGAATTGAGGAGAGAGAGGGAGATACAAAGAAAAAAGAGGGTTTAAGAAGAGGAGGTGAAGACGAATAAGGGGGGCAGCAAACTGGCGATGAGACTAGGGAACAGAGGGAGCAGAGGCTTTGTCAAAAACAAGGTCTAATTATCCTTGTCTCCGTAAACGGGCTAATATGGCCCTCATAATTGTGGGCTTCTTGGATGATTTACGGGCTTTTGGATGTTTCGGTTGATTTTTTAGTAAAATCAGACGATTATTTGGGTATTAAACAAAAAAACAGCTTTTTTTTTTGGAAAAAAAAAAATTTATGAACAGAGAAATTATCCCATTTTCAAATTTAAGATAAAACATTAATTCAAAAATAGGATTTACGGATTTTAAAAATTTTTTCAAACGTGCAATCATTTATCCATAAAAAATTTTTAAAAATTCAAATCTAGATACTTTGCATTTAAATCTTAAATTTTAACAATTTGCTCCAACTTGTATTTGACAAAAAAGATAACATGTTTCTTGATGTTAAAAAGACCAAACTTGAAATCTGGACATTAGTTTAGTTGTTTTATGTGTTTGAGATTGTGAAATTTGTAAACCATGATTCTGAAATAAAAATACTGAGGAGAAAACGTGTCTACCCTCCTCCAAGGCCACAGCAGATGGCCATGGAACAAATAAAATAAAAATGAGGGTCATACAACTGTAGGAAGAGTCAATTTATGGCAGTATTTTGGAGCACAAGGGAATAGTAAGTAGCAGTCCTGAAACCTGAGCTTGAAGCTTTCAGCAGTGACTTTGAAGTTTGAAGTCATCTTTGGTAAAATGACTTGAACAAATACAATTGCTTTTCATTTTCAAGAGAAACCAACTGCTTGTCATGAATAAGGATGGATCACATCATACGGTAAATCATTTACATAGAATTTCATATTCAGCTTGTTTAAAAGAATCGACACACAACACCTTCTTGGTTCCTGGCTTCTACATGAATGCTTGTCACTTGACATGATAAATGATACCTCAATAGACAAACTCAATATCTCTCAAGTTGCAATCACCTTGTAGATCAACTGTTAATAATCCATTCTCAGCATTGTAGATGAATTCCACTTCCTTCATGTCCACCATACAAGACCTTGGTTTTGAGCTTGAGTATGCTCCAAATCTGCCACAGCCTCGTCCTCTGATTTTTATTATGCATCCTGAAAGACTCATGTTGCCATCCATGGCTTCTACCGCTCCTCCTGAATTGTACATGTCAAGCAATCCTATGGGAGCAAAAAGAATATCCTGACCAAAAACCTGTTTAACATGAAGATTCATTAGATTTGATACTATAAGAGTATTCACCAGAAATAGAAAGTGGTTGATTCACTAACCCTGATCGGAGAGATGGTATATATTTCACATTTAAGATTGGCCAATGACACTTTAACATTTCCATTCTTTGGCAATTTAGAGAGAGACCCTGCAATTGAAAGAGAAAAGGGTTAAGATATATATATATGGAGATGTTAATTTCAGATTCAGTCTTCTCAGTAAAGTTGATGCAGTCAAAAGTTAACCTGAATTGATGGCATACACTACACAATCTCCATTCCAATTTTCCCCGGCTACCTCTTCAATGAACTCAACATCACATGGACTCATTTTGCCTGAAATGGATGAAGGTGTGCTTGCCATGTCTTTAGTTGCTTGTTTCAATGGCCAATTTCCTGCTCCTTGGCAGTTGAAAACACCTATCACTCCAGATAACTTATTCAAGTTCCATATCTTGAGAAGACTGCAAAAGAGTTCATAATCATGAAAAAAAAAATTGAAGTTTGTAAATGATTGTAAGCATTTTTCCTTTTCTTTTTCCCTTCATACAATAAGATATTCACCTTTTACCATCCATGACAGGGTCTCTGAATAAACAATCTCGAGTAGGACGGCCAGCATGTCTGGCTCTTAGTATCGATCCATCAGGCAAAACCAACCTTCTAAGGATTTCAAAATCATGATTGCCTGGCTTGTCACTATGATAGTAAGAGAAGAAAAGGAAAAATGGAAAATTTCCATAAGAATGAAAACAAGAACTATTGAGATAAATCAAAATCAAACCATCAGTTATTGTGGCTAACCTTACATATACTGCGCATCCCCCTATCGCCCTTGCAACACCATGGAACTCAGCTGTTTCATGTTTGCTCTGCAATATATAAAGCCATGTACAGTCAGAAACTACAACTGTGGTTTTAAGCTGCCAATGCAGAGAGCATAAGCATTAAGCACTAGATGTTGGATTGTGATATTTAAATATCTGGAGAGGCTTAAATTTTTGTTACTAGCGCCACCATGGAGACGGATGTGCTAATCTTAAATGTGCATTTCACAATAATGTTATTCAACAATAAGTGTCAATGGAAAAAGGAGCATCCTACATGGAACATGTCCCAGTCTGGCACCACAATCTCCCCAAGAAGTAGACTGTTAAAAGCAACAGAGGCAACATGTAAGGTCTGAAATGTTGGCTCTCGTGGCATGAAATCTTCTGATGCTCTTGCAACAGCACTCTTTTTTGAACTGAAATTATACAACCTCTTGTTAGTACTTGCATGCATTTCAAGGCCCCAATTTGCTAAATATTTTGATCTGATGTTTCATAAATGAAGAGAGCAGGTGTTACCTGTAAATTGAGTCTGAATTGTGACTCATGCAACATATTAAGTTATTATCTTTGAAGTTTCTTGATGTAGATTGTTCAAGTGCTTGTTGATATTGTCTAGTCAATGAAACTCGCCCACCATACCCAGAACCTAAGGTTTCTATCAGATTCTGGGCATCCACCTTGACTCCATCAATGCCGCTGCTGGAGAGATAGCTATGGAGATCATTGTAGAAATCAAATATTTTCTGGGGATCAATGATCCCAACTCCATACTTCTCCAAGCTGTCCGGAATAATGTCTCTCAGATTCCCTATGTTACTAGGTGACTGAACTGGGTAAACAATCTTCGGATTGTACTTTTTCATTGTTTCAGATGATGGGAGGACACCTCCCCAATAGCCAGTTAAAGCATGCCAGACATAGACATACCTGCATTGATATGTAATTTTCATCATAAAATACTTCAAAAACAACATAAAACTCTTGAGAACAGAAAAGCACTGATATACAGACTTGAGACCTTACTTCAACCCATATTTCCCTTTGATCATGTCAATGAACTCATGGAGATCATTGCACCCACCATCTGATCCTGAACTCTTGAACTTACTGTTTTCTTTGATATCTGCTAATCTAGTTGCAAACCTGCCATATGACAAAAACATCAAGGAGCATAATTAGAAAAGCATGGCAAATGACTACTATGCGTTAGCATTGACAAGAAATGTCTATCTCATTACTAACAGCACTTACTGTGTCCCTTCAATGGGTGGTTCTCCTTCTTTGCGGAACTCATTAAATGTGTCTTGCCATCCATCGTCAATGATTAGGAATTTTGGGGAACAGCCTCCATCCAAGAAACTGCTCAAATGCAGGACAATGATCATACGCACTTTGAAACTTGCAACAATTTAACAGCAATTTGTTTCCTGTGGCTTATTGACATAAAATTTTGACGATTATGTTAGTACCTTTGAAGACCCTCTTTGATGCCCTGAGGATTCACTTCAGTGTAAAAGGCATCCCAAGTGCACCAACCAAACCAGTCCAAATGTGCAGGGATCTGTCCATCAAAGCATATCAGATTTATCAATGAAAAGAAATTTTAACTATTGACTTGTATTAGTTCAACAGTTTGAGATTGATTACCTTCTTGTTTTCGATATGACTAAAAGTTCCCTTGTGCTTCTCCAATATCCTTCAAAAGCACAAAGAATGCATTCAGGAATTTCAGCCTGTACTGATATTAAATGTCAAATGACAATAAATGTATGAACCGGAACATAACTCCGTTCATGGTAGCATGTAGCAGGTTCATGTGGCCTTTTGTAAAAAGAATGACAATAAAATGCCACACACCACATATTAGTAACTACTTCTATTGTTATTTGAGCATATTTTATGGAATTCTTGATGAGTTCAAATGGATTGTCCCCTGAATTTATGAACACTGGCTCCAATATTTGTGAGATCTGGACATTGGCATCACCTGAAGAGTCAAACAGCATATAACTGTAAGCCAAGCTATAACACAACCAAAGTATAGGAAAATTAAAGTTACAGAATCACCAACCACTTTCCACACAAAACTGGAGCTCATTTGCAGGAGTTCCTTGCAAACTTGTCCGGAATTCTCCATCCAAAACAGGCAAAACGAGAATATAAAATGGATTTTCAGTGGCTGGATCAGAAGAAATTCCGTCATCAACAGCAGACTCTTCTCTTACTTCCAAAAGAAGCATTTGAGTCTCCAAGGGAATTTCACTTCCAGATTTCCCATAGCGCGGTATCATCCACCATATTTTGAATCTAAAGAGACACAAAAGCTTGTATCCCCTGTAGCAGATCCATGAGCAAAAGAACACATTACCAACATAAAAAATACTAAAGAAACAGCAGAGAGATATTGCCGTGTTTAAAAACCAATGTAAGAAACCATGACAGAGAAAACCGATGCATTGAACATGTTGAGAAAGAGGGAAACTTACTCCAAAACCCCAAGAGTGAAAACATGGCGAGAATTGGGAAATGATGAAGTTGCACCCAGAAAAGCTGACCCCGAACTTGCCTGAGAAATGATTATGTTCTTTGGAACCTCAGTCAACACCACCTTGCCCCTAACCATGAGGCAACCATCTTTTACACAAGGCGTTGCTGTGATTGTCATTCGGTTAAATCAATGCAAACAAAAGAACACCAGCCTTTTAAGATCAGAACGACCAATGGAAACTTGAAAAGAGAACTTGGAGGCAATGAAAATAAAGAAGAAACTAGAAAGAAATGATAAACAGAGACGTTTCCAACGTCCAGGGCTTAGCTATTTATATGTATCCAAATGTTGGCTTTCATTTGGTAAACTCTTCTTATCCAATCAATGATCAAAGAAGAAGAAAAACCGCGTGGTTAGACTTGGATATGGTAGTATTTTTCACGTGTTGAATGATGGCATTGGCTACACGAAAGGGGTTTCGAGGAAGTTCGATGATGTCGGAATTTTACTTTGCCATTGGCTCATCTTCCACGTCAACGACACATCATTCTTGCAAAGAATAAGAATAGGAATGATCTCCCACGACAGAAACAAAGAAAACTCACACCTTGTAATTTCGTTCATGCAGTTGACCTGTCATTGTGTCAAAACCCTTATCTTATATTTTGCTACTTTTCAAAGAATTCTAGCTCGTTGAATCCAATAAATAAGAAGGATATTTCAATATTTTATTTCCTATGTTACAAAAAATGAAAGGTAGTTTGACCTAGACAGCTAAAATTTGAGAGTGGAGCTCAAAAGACAGATGGCAATAATCTAATCTGGAAAGTTCGAAGCATGTGCGGTCAAACCAACATGGCGATGAGTAGGATCAAGCTGGTTTAGTCTCTACTTGTCTTTTTTAACAGTAAGCAGATCAGCACAACAAATTGCAAGGCCATACCATAGCAAGCAAAGGTCTAGGGGGGGCTTGTAATACAAGAGAGAGAGGTCCAAGATTTAAACCTTTAAATATATAGAATAAGGCTAGGATTGGATTATTAGCGCTGGGACTGAATTTATCATATTATTAGATAAATTTAAATATTAATTTTAATAAAATTTATTTAATATAAATTTTTTATTAAAAATTATTTTTTTAATCATAATTATAATAATTATTATTATTTTAAATTTTATCAAAATTAATTTGATCGTCTATTTAAATAGAGTCTAAATGTATTTTATTAGTTTAGTTTTGTGTAGTATGGATATATAGGGAAGTTCTGTGATAATCCCTTAATGTATTTTTGTGTTGTATTTAACTTGTATCTGGAATTTTTTTGGTAATAAAATTTTTTTTTATTGCTAAAAAAAAATGTAAATATATTAAATAAATTAAGTTCATCCTTAAACCAAAGATATGTTTTTTTTTTTTTTGGCAGCCTTTGACTTTCTTTTACACATTGTAATTTAAGAAGATTAAAATAACATAATTATTTTTTATTTATTATACCGATCAATCATTACTTACAAATTAAATAAAAAATCAATAAATTTGTTATAAGAATTAAATCACATATCAATTTACTAAAAACCAAGTTGACTGTTTAATTTTTTGGTAAGACTCTAAGATTACAATCAAATATCAAATATGTTTTTCTTTTCTTTTTAATCAATTACAATTTCTCTCCATATAACATTAACTTTTAATTTTACTTTAATTTTTTTTTCTTCCACTATCATATCATCTATCATTTATACATAAAAATGTTAACTTCAAAATTATTAATAGTGAACAATTTAAATACTTTTATAAAATTTTAAATTAATAAATTAATCCTTAAATATGTATAACTTTTATTAATTTATTTAAATTTAATTTAAATCAACTAAAATTAAAAATAGAGTTTATGTAAAATTAAATTATTCCAAAACTATTAATAATAAACGACTTAAATACCTTTATAAATTTTTAAGTTAACAAATTTATCCTTAAATATGTATATTTTTTATTAATTTATTTAAATTTATTTAAATCAACTAAAATTGAAAATAGAGTTTATGTAAAATTAAATTTTTTAAAATTTTAAAATTTTAATTATAAAAGTATTAAAAGTGATTGCCTAAAATATTCTTACTAAATGTTTTTATATGAAATTTTTTTATTATTAGACTCTTTCTTTTTTATAATTAGACTAAAAAAAAATACTAAAAGCGATTGATTAAAATATTATTAATAAAATTTTAATTTAAAAATGTTAAAAGTGATTGATCAACATATTATGAGTACTTTTTTTAGAAATTTTAATTTAAATGACCTTTTTTATTGTTAAACTCTTTTTATAAATAAAATTATTTTTCATATCAAATAATCCAGGTGGTTGAATGATCTAACATAAATTATTCTAAGTAAAAAATTATCAAGTGAAATAACATTAATTATTTTTGATGAATTCTTTCAAGGTAAGATTTTATTTTATTTTATTTTTTAAAATTATGTATTTTAATATTTTATATAATAAAAATTTATATATAATAAAATTTTTAAAATAAAAGAAAATTTAAGTTTTTAGCTTATAGAACAAACACTTATATTCAATAAATAAAAGCACCAATGGAAGATTATTTTAAGTAAAAAAATAAAACGAAATATTGATTGGTTATGCATAATTTTATCATCTATATAACAAAAAATGTTAGTGTTATATGATGTTTCAATAAAAATATACAAATACAATTATTTCAAATTTTTTTTATGATTAATATGAAACTTTTTTATTTGATGAAACATTATATACTAATTATCTCTTTTATATTAGTTGAAGAATATCAACTATTATATAAAAATTTTTAAGATTATCATATTAAATAATATTTGCTCAAAAGCATTGAAATTTATAAAATTAATTATAACTTTACATCTAAAATAAACAATTATTATAAATTATAATTTAAGTAAATTTAAAAGTGATTTAAAGGCATTCATTATCAAATTTTATTTGATAAATCTTTATTTAATTATGTATGTAGTATTTCAACTATTTTTTATTTTGATTTCTTATAATTGCAAGTTAGATTTTAGACTTAGGATTAGCGATCAATTTGGGTAAGTCAAGTTTTATCATCTACTTTTATTTGTAGTGTATTCAGTTATTCACTTATACATCTGAATTTATTTGATTCAATAATTTGTGCATATTCTTTTTATTTAAAAAAGTGGATTTAAATTCAAAAAATAAGTATATTGAATTACTTATAATTTCAATTTCACTCTAGAAATTCTCTTAAAATTAATTAACTAATTTAATCACAAAAATAATAAAAATAAAAACGTTGAAGATGAAGGGAAAAGAAATTTAACTAAAAAAAATTTTAAATTGTTATGAAAAATGAATAACTAATATGGGGATTTTAATTTGGTTATTATTTCAATTCAGATTTTGATTATATTCAATCATTTTAGATTTTAAATAATTATTAAGTTGTTAATGTTTTAAAATCAATTGAATTCGAGTTAAGTTAGTTCATTTTTACAATAATATGTATTGTATTATTTTTAATTAAATTAAATTTTAAAATAAGTAAAAATTTTATTTATATTTAATTTGAGTTTTAAATTATTTCAAGTTTGGATTTATTAATTCATACTATTTTAACTATATTTTTATGACACTTGTAATAAATTTTAAAATAAAATGAGAAAACAACACAATAAAAATTTAAATACAAAAGCGATAGAGTTACAAATGATAATTTTAGAAAAAAAATCCTTATGCCTAAGTTTCGCAGAGATTAAAAGATTTTTTTTGGAAGATTTTAAAATTCATATTGTAAAAATGTTAATATAAATAAAAAAATTTATAATTATTCATTTGTTAATCAAGCTACTGCTATATAGCTTAAAAAAGACAATTCAAATACTTCATTTGAAAGAGATCATATCATAGTTCAAACTCATTCATGAAGATAGTATAGAGTTAAACATTATTTTGGTTGTTATGACCCTTTATAATATTTATAATATTTTTTACTCTTTTCAAATAAAGAAGTTAATTGACATCAAAATATAAAAAAAAAACCATTTTAAATAATGGTAATAAGAATGAAGTAACAATTAAAAATATATTATTTTTTCATTTAGTAGAATAAAATTTTTATGGCGAATGTGAAATATTCTTTACCATTTTTAAATAAAAAAGTTAATTGATATCAAAATATCAAAAAAGTTATTTTGAATAGTGGTAATTAGAATGAATCAACAATTAAAAATATACTATGTTTTCATTTAGAAAAAAGATTATAAAAAATATGAAAGAAATTATTATGAATCTAATCTTTTTAAAATTATTGTCTGTTTAATTTTTATAAATTTTATTTAGTAAATAAGTTCATATTACTTTTATCATATATATAATAAAATTTTTACTTAAACTTGTATACTTAAAAATAAAAACATAAGATAAAGTTTATTACTTTTATCGATGAACTTTCAATATTTTATATACAATTTTACTTCGCTAACGTATATGAAAATATATATACTAATAATTCAAGTAAACCATCAATAATGCTTATCTTAATATCTATTATTTTACCATGAACTAAAATTTTTGAAAAAAACTTTAAATATTGACTTAATATATATTTTATATATTTATTTAATTTAGTTTTAATACTTATATTAGTATAAAAGTTATAATTTTTACTTATTATTACATGTTAAATCATTTAAACTTGACTTTTTCTACTTCTTTCTCTATCTTACAAATTATATCATTTAGCATACATTGTGATTACTTTTTTTTTTGGATATACATAAATCAATGATAACATAATAGTAAATAATTAATAACTTAGTGATTAATAAATGAAAATTTAAATGTAATTAGTATAATATAGTAATAATCATCAATAATTTAATAATAAATTAATGATAACTTAATAATAAATAAATGATAATTTAGTAATAAATAATTGATAACTTTTTAACAAATCAATAATAATATAATAATATATGATAATACCTTAATGATAAATCAATTATAATATAGTTGTAAATGTATAAAAACATAATACTAAATCAATGATAACTTAACAAAAAATAAGTGATAATTTAGTAGTTAATTATTGATAACTTAATAATAAATCAATTATAATTTAATAATAAATTAGTAATAATTTAGTAGTAAATCAATTTTAGTTTAACATAATTAATTGATAGTAAATCAATGATAAATTAATAGTAAATAACTGATAATTTAGTAATTAATTATTAAAAACTTAAAAATAAATAATTTATAACATAATAGTTAATCAGTAATAACTTAATAATAAATCATACATAATTTAATATAAATCAATAATAACTTAATCGTGAATCATAAATAATTTAGAGATAAATCAGTGATAATTTTGTAGTAAATAATAAAAAATTAAGTAGTAAGTCAATGATACCCTAATAGTAAATATATAAAAATGCAATAATAAATAATTGATAATTTAATAGTAAATTAATAACTTAGCAGTAAATCGCTAATAACATAATAGTAAATTATTAATAACTTAATTATAACTCAATGATAATCTAGTAGTATATTAATTAATCATTGATAACTTTTTAGTGAATTAGTAGTAAATTAATTATAACTTTTTAATAAATTATTAATAACCTAGTGGTAAATCACCAATAATTTAATAAAATCAGTCACAAGTTAATGATAAATATTTTATAACTTAATGGTAAATCATTTATAAATTATAAGAAAATACCATTGATAATTTAGTAATAAATCTTAGATAACATAATAATAAATAACTGATAAATTAATTGTCAATCATTAATAATTTTTTTATATTTACAGTTGTATATGATTGAACCTTAGTTATTAATAGAAACGAAGTCAAAACTTTCATTTCTATAGTTAAGATAAACTTATCACGAACTTATTCAATAAAAAAATTAGTGAAAAAATTTCAAATTTAAATAAAATAATAATGTTATTATATAAAAAGAAAATTGTCTCATATATTATTAGTGAGCTATTTAAATTCCATGTTTCATGGTTTTAAAAGTATAATAGCATATTAGTAAATTAATGATAGGTAAATAAAAACAAGTGATAATTTAGTTGTTAATTATTAATAACTTAATAAAAATCAATTATAATTTAATAATAAATTAGTGATAACTTAATAGTAAGTAAATTTCAATTTAGTAGTAATTAATTGATAAATTTAGTATTAAATTATAAATAATTTAATACTAAATCAATGATAATTTGGTAGTTTATTATTGAAATTTAAAAGTAAATCAATATAACTTGATAGTAGTTAATCATTAATAACTTAATAGTTAAATAGCTTAATAATAAATTATAGATAATTTAATATAAATTAGCGATAGTTTAATAATGAATCATAGTTAATTATAATAAATCTCTGATTATTTTGTAGTAAATAATCAAAAACTAAATAGTAAATTAATGATAACAAAATAGTAAATGCATAATAACATAATAGTAAATTATTGATAATTTATATATAAATTATTGATAATTTAGTAATAAATTAGTGATAATTTAATCATAAATTAGTTAATTATTGATATCTTTATAGTAAATTATTAATAAATTAATAGTAAATCAATTATAATTTTATTATAAATCATTAGTAATTTAGTAGTAAATTATTAACAATTTAATAATAAATTATTCATAACTTAGTAATAAATCATTTATAAGTTAATAGTAAATCAATGCTAATTTAGTAGTAAATCATTGATAATTTAATAATATATCACTAATAACTTAGCAATAAATCGTTGATAATATAATAATAAATTAATAATAACTTAATTGTCAATTATTGATAAAACTTTTGGATTTAAAGTGGTTAAGAATTAAATCTTGATTATTAGCAAAACTGAAACTTGAAATTTTATCTTGGAAAACTTAGATAAACCTATCATGAATCTATTCAATAAAAAATTTAGTGAAAAAAATTTTAAATTTGAATGAAACAATATTTTTATTATATAAAAAATTATCTTATACTAGAATTTAATTTGAGCATTATTATGATAATCCATTATTAAATATATGATAACTCAATATTTATCAATGATTACTATAAATATATCATAAGTTATTAAAAAATTATTTATTAAAATTATATCAAGAGGTTACTAAAATTTAATCAATGATTACTAAAATTATATCGAAAGTTACTAAAATTTTATCAAAAGTTATCAAAATCAAAATTAAAATTAAATTAATATTATTTATCTCCATTATTATAATATCAAAAAAATTATTGATATTAATTTTTAGAGATAAAAATTACACGTGCGTCATGCACATGTTAACGACTAATATAATATAATATATATAATATGATACATTAATGAAAAAAATTAATATTCAATATAATATTAACTAATCCCTTCAAAATCAAATATCAAGATCTATCACTGCAAATTTCCTCTTTATTTGCCTTCTACTTCTTACTTTAGAAGCTAAGAAGCTTTGAAAAGGGATATTTAATGATTTATATATTCATATCATATAAAATATTAAAATTTATATATTCATATCATATTTTACATAAAAATTATATATCGTAATTTGTATTAACATAAAAATATAAAAAAGATATTTTTAATTTATTAAATTTATATATAATTATTATTAAAATTTTAAATAATATCATTTTCATATATATTTTTTCATATCATATTAATATCGTATTTTAAATTATAAGATAAGTACTAAAAAAGACGTAAACATAATTCTAAATCCACCCATCTCCCTTTCTCCTCACAAGGGCTTTGCCTTCCTACGAGCCAAAAGAAAAGGTCATTATTATTTATTCATAAGGCGAGAATTAATGGCCATTTTCTTGTTTTCATGGGATTCTTTTGAATTCAACAGCTCTTCCAGAGGGTTCTTAACAACTCTTCTAGATCTATCCAGTATACATGGATGCTGATGGTTTCCAAAGCATCAAAACTTGGTAAAACTAAAACATCTCTGACAAAAGATAATACTAGAAAGAACCTAAGTTGTTGAAAATCAGAGACAATCTGTCACTGAATAAAAATTGATGTTTTTGATCAACAGTTAGTAACACTTTAACCCATGTTCTATGTCAAAACTTGAATACTTGTACCAAAGCTCAAAGGTGAGATAATTGAAGGGCTTTGCCCTCGCATCATATTAAATATATATAAAAACGAAAATTATCATATCAAATTCACGTGAACATGTCAAACATGACATATTTTTAATCTTAATTCTGTAAACAACGATCCGCAAAGTATTATATGGGAAGTTGCAGGCCAGGGTTCCAATACTAATAAGGATAGCTAGTGAAAAGTTTTCATACAGGAGGCTGAAAGTGAACTCTCACAGCATGAAAAATTATACCGATTACAGTTGGTACGGGCACAGATGCCAATCCAAGGGCGTCCCACAATGAGAAATGTCTGTTCTCACTCATTACAGAGCGGATCACAAACAATTATATGATATTGAACAGATAAAGTTGCATAAACAAGTTTTTCTAGTTTGATGAAACCCACAAATATGTACAAAAGTCTGGATATATATGATGGGTATCCCTTCTCTCTCGAATCATTTAAGAGTCCTCATACCACATTCATGTCCAACTCCAAAGTCTTTTACTCAAGAAGAAATTCGAGGACTTACTCTCAGAATGCTGGAAGATAGAAACAGCAAAGGAGAATCCGGTCAAGCATATTTTGCTCAATAGAGTCTTATTCTGGTATCAATGGTGCTTCGGCAAATGGGACACAATTGAAGGTCTTGGCCACACTCGCAGCAAGTCTGCATGGAAGTAAAACTCAGGCGTGCATCATTCAATATATGCTCCAAGCGATGTAGGATTAAAATGTTACCTGATGTCCACAACCAAAGGCCATATCCTTTGCATTGCAAAGACATATAGGACAAACCTGTCAGAATAGAGGTTAACAGAAAAATCGTCAAAATTTTCACATTGAATAGATATTTTATTGACCAAAGAAAACCAGGCAATCGCAAACTTCTTTTGAGATTGCTTTGTGAGACTTGCAATGAATAAGTCATTGAATAACAAATATTAAAACCAAATTATTTGCTTATGCTGTAGCAATTAGGATAAGATAAAATACACGATTGTCTGAAGCAGAACTTGCAGGAGGAGATGTTCTGGCTGGAGTATCATGTCTACCAGAAGAAGGTGCAGTGGGACGAAAACTACTTGATTGTGAAGGTTTTGAGTAGCTAAAAGAACCCGCACCATAGAGAGGAGGGGGGAGAGGAACCCTATCAATAGCCTTCCCCGAGCTAGTACTGTTAAACCAGTAAAGAAAAAGTAAGTTGCTTTTGAATGTTATCCCAGTAACAATGGTAAAATACCTTCTAAACTTACTAAAACAATCCTAATTATTACCCCAATATGTTAAGCTCTATTGTTGCTTTGTACTGAGAAGGAATTTCCATCAGTGCCGCAAGAGCAAACTCTGCCTCTTTTCTGGACTGATCCATATTCTTTGACATTAGTTCTGTAAAACTCACAAACTATAGGAGGCAACATTTCAAATTACAGTGAATATGAATAACACATCTTACTTTGCCAGCTTCAAGAAGTGAATCTAAAACCATAAAAAGAATGTCCACAAGCCATACTTGCCTGGAAATTATCAAACGCACGAGCAGGAATGTTATCATCAAATTCTCTCATCATGTCCCATGGTCCATCTCCAACTCCAACTAAAATAATTGACAAGGGGTACTCACTGCAAAGTAACTAGTATATTAGGAAGTTGCATATCAAAGAATATCATTTGAGGACACAAGCAACCATATAATACCTTGCTTTCACAATCGCTTCGACTGTTTTTGTTTCTTGTGGGCTTAGTTGGCCACGTTCTGTATCAACACTTCTAGTAACCTGCTCCCATTCAGCATAAAACACAATCTAAGTTTGCGAAACTGTTGACAAAAGGTTCTGCTTTTGCAAGCTAAACTTCAGTCTTTATCTTACAGCCAGTAATAAATATCAACCTATGCCGTTTCCTTTCCTAGTGTTTGTGTAGTCTCAGCTTTCTTAAGTAAATAATTGATAAGATTTTTTTCTTTATCTGCTTCAGCTAAAAGGACTAATCATTAGTCACTAAGGGACTCAGCTGAGAACATGGATCTAAGGATGTGTAGACTGAATAAAAAACCCATGCTAAAATAGCAGATGATTTAAAAAATTAATTTTACTTCTTGATTTTACTATAATCTTAGGCCACACGAATAAACCAAGTGTGTATAGCATTTCCAAATAGATATTTATATGCACGCTACACCTGTGTCCCCAAATACACTCCTGTTTCAATATTTACTCAGAAGCCAGTTTCTCAAGTTACATAGTACTGTAAAATTTAAAGCATGGGTTTTTCACCAACAAATATGTTTTGGATAGAAAGTTCAAATTTCAGCCATAGAAAATTGTTACCTATAAAGTTTCCACTCAAACTTGGCCATTTGTCTCAGTGATAACACAAAATAAAACAATCAACCAGAGGAGAATTTAATTCAAGGGGTTAAAATGATGAAAACAAATTTGTCTAATACTTAGGACCTTTGGTCATTCAATACCGGGACTTGATATAACTGATATGCAGTGTTCTAACCTATTGAATACAGGAGAAGGAATGTGGAACCATGTCGCTAAGCAAGAGTTTTTTGTTATTATTTATTGTTTTAACAGAACTTACCAAGTATTTGACAGTAAATGGATTATTCTATAACACAAAGCAAGCAAGTTACCTGCCCATCAGCTATTATCAGTAACACATGGTATTGCCCACCACTTTGCTCAACAATGGTGATGGCCATTTCAATGATAGGAGCAAAAGATGTGGGTCCTGTCAAAGAGAATAAATGCAGGTAGGTGTAGAGAGGAAGGAAAATCCAGAAAATAAGATAGCAGAGGACTGACAAAAGAACAAAGGAAGAACTGAAAAGAATTATAACCTGCAAGTCTTAGATTAGGCACTGTTTCTCTGTATCGACTTAACACTTCTTCAAATCCATTGCAAAACCTCTCATCTGGATAGAAGCTGAATACTTCTTGATCATGTGTTGATGCTGCCGGTTCAAAAAATCTCATGTCATCTCAGTTACCAAAAAGATTAAACTAAAAGATCAATGGAAAATTTTTTTTCAAAAAGTATACCATCGCCAAATCCAAAACAAGGTATCAAATTATCCTCATCAAAGGAAGACAATGTTTTTCCAATAATGGATATTGCTTGTTCATATGGATTTTGCTCATCTCCAATGTGGTGTAGACTTCTCCGGTGGAATGACCTTGCACCTAATTTAAAGCACATTAGAAGCATTGCACTGTAACAAAAGAAAAAATTTTAAATGCATCAAGACAAGGTCAAACCTGTCCACTCATTGCTCTTTGTGAAATCAATACCAACAATAAGATTAGAAGATTCCAAGCCTGCGTGGGCCAGGGCATCAGTCACCTGTGAAAAAAGAAGAGTATAACAGGTTTGTATTACCATATCAAAAAGGTAACAACCCAATTATTGTACAAGTTTTCGAGCAGAAATATGAAAGAATCATATCTCAGTTTAATGTGAACTATGAATAGTCTCTAAAAGAAGTAAGAATAGTTAGGGTGAAAATTACATAGTTTTTTTTTTTTCCCACATTACATAGTAATTTAGCAATGATAACATGAACATCCCATAAAAATTGAAAACAAGTGTCTCTAAGGGCATTCCTGTTGGGACCATGCTCAGCTATTTAGAGATTGACTAAACATATCTTGCATTTACTACAGTTCCAACCAGTGGGAAACTACAAATACAATATTACCTGGTCCAGGCTATTGTAGTTATCATCTATCTTTGAATATTTTCTCTCCAACCTCCGCTTTGAATCTTGGGCACGACCACCATAGTTTTGAGGTGGAGGAGCATAATGCTGCTGGGGAACATAGTCTCGGCCTGAGGGAGCATATGATGGCTGTGCAGATCTATGAGGATCCCACGAGTAAGAATTAGATGCTACAGATGAGGACTGTGCTGAGGTTGATCGTTTTGATGTTACACCACCCATCAGCTTTATAATTTATAGATATTCTGCAAGATCCAACATATGTGAACATGAATGCAGCAAAGAACCCAAGTTGACCATAAAAATTTGTAATTTCACAGATATTAAACATAATTTAGAAATAAATAACAGGATAGAATTCAGTTGATTATGTGATATTATTAAGATGAAAATAATGGACAACATTTTCAGAAAAGTGGTACCTCTTTCCCTTTCACAAGGAAAGGCCCCACTTCTATTCTGCATGAGTACAGGTTACAGAAAGGGAAAGCTACCTCCATTTTGTAACTCAGTATCACCCGATTTCCCTTCTAAAGAGATAGGGAGAGGAAGGGAATTCAAAAGTAAATGATGAAAAACAAAACTATAGAGATAAGATAGAAACTGATAAATCAACAATGACAATGCCAGTAAGAAAAGAAATCTATGTTCAAACTTCAATTTGGGGTGAATGCAGTGTCATTCAATGCCTAGCAAAGGCAGAGAGCTTCAGAAGCAATCACATTCTGTTGACATTGCGAGGTTATTATAATGTGTGTCATATATTTGCTTTGTTTTCTTTGGTATTACATCATGAATTTGTCTGAATAAACTCAAAATTTTAATTTTTTTTTTTTAAAAGATTAACACTTTCCAGAATATACCATCTAATGTTTGTTTTTGAATTAATGAAAAACTATTCTCACTTCTCGAATCCTGCTCATGAAAACAAAGGAAGACAATATAAACCAGTAATCTTGGTATTAAAAAACGTTTCATGCTTCATGATTCAAGAAAAGAAACATCCCGAGATCCAAAACTAAAGAGATAATTTTCACACCACTAAATTCTTTCACACACATAAATCTGGCTACAATCCCCAAAAAGACAAGGAAAAAATAAAAAGAAAAAATTGCATTCCACATTTATAACGAGATCACAGATTTATAAACAGTCCTCGCTGAAAACCCATGAAGCCAAAGCCTTCAAACATCCAAATTCCAAAAAGAAAAGGAAAAAATAAAAAGAATAAACAACATTAAGAATATAACCACATTTATAACAAGATCACAGATTTATAAACAGTCCTAGCTGAAAACCCACGAAGCCAAAACCTTCAAACATCTAAATTCCAAAAAGAAAAGGAAAAAATAAAAAGAATAAACAGCATTAAGAATTAACCACATTTATAACAAGATCAAGATTTATAAACAGTCCTAGCTGAAAACCCACGAAGCAAAAACCTTCAAATGTCCAAATGTCACATCCAGCCATCAAAATTCACCAAATTTCGGTAACCCAACAAAAGAAAGAAAAAAAAAAAAGAACCACAAGCCAGAGTCAAAGTCAATAAGAACAGTCTGTAAAAAAATAAATACATGAAAAGTAAACAAAGATATCTTGCCTTTTACCTTTAAGAAGAAAAGATGAGATTCTGCAGCATTGTTGGCGTCGGTAGGTAATGGAAGAGAAGAGAAGAAGATGGTGATAAGAGTCACAGGGCAGAGAACACCATGTTTGGAAGCGGTGAAAAGGATTGGGTTGGGTCGGCTTGTTGGTTCTTGGAAGTTTCCCTTTTTGCCTTTAATGACATTAATGGTGGAACCCATAGTCCACTTGCGCCCAACTTAACTTCAACTTTCAACCGGCTTCACATTTTTGTCTACAAGCCGCCTTCTTCACTGTTATTATCAGTTACTACATTTTTTACGCTGATTTGTTTTAGGGTTTAGCAATGTAAATCACGATTGTATAATATAAATATAATACGAAAATAAAATAAAATAAAATAAATTTTAATTTGTTAATAATAATTATATATAAATTTAATAAAACAAAAGATATATTTTATATTTTTATATTAATACAAATTATAATATATAATTTTTATATAAAATATAATATAAATATATATTTTAATATTTTATATGATATAAATATATAAACAAAGAATTTTGTTTTTTTAATTTAAAAAAATTATTATTTCCGATAACATACGATTTAATCATATTCCCTAGGTACGCCATTGATTTCTGAATCCTAATGGTGGAGCACCGGTGGACATGTAAAAGCAGTCAGAATAATTTGGTTCTTTTATAATTAATAAAATAAGATGTTGAGAAGATTGATTGGACTGGATTCTTTTAAAAAAGAAAGATGAATCAATCCATTGATTGTTTTTTTTTTTGTCTTCTTGTAATCATCTTGAAGGAATGCTTGCTGTATATCTTTAGTTCTTGCTGGATGAGAATGAATTTGGTTTAATTTTTGTTAGGTATTTAATAGAATTATAAAATTATAAAATTTAATTTGAATTTAAATTTAAAATTTATTTTTATTAAATTGATTTGAATTAAATTTTATTAATTTGATTTGATTTATTAATTTTAAATTTTATATTATTTTAATATAAAAATTAATATATTTAAATAAATTTAAATATAAAATTATTATTTTTATTTTATAAAAATTTAAAAAATATATAAAAATTAAAAAATATATAATTTGATTCTATTTATTTTTTAATTATTTATCTTTTGATTTAAAATTTAATTTAAATTTAATATCTGAATTTAATTCAAATTAAATAAAAAAAATTAATCTAAATCAAACCAAATATTACAATTTCATACCAATTTTTGAATTTTATTTTTTCTCACATTACTTGGTGTGCCTGCATGTCTCTCGAAACAATTTTAAATAAAAATGTTTCTTCAAATTTCTTTGATAAATATTTTAGCCTTGATATTTGCAAAAAAATTAAAAATTAAAAATAATAAAAAAGTTAAGATTGAAAGTTTAAAAAAAAAGAAAAAAGGCCAGTTTGCAAGAGGCCTAATTCAATCCTTATGTAATTCGATATTAAATTGAGAATTTAATTCTATTTATTATAGCTAATTATGTGCTTTAAGGTATAATCAAGTATTACCATAATCTCACGGGGAGAACAGTTGCTGAAAATTTGAGGTTTGCAAGAGGTGTAGTGACAAATAAATACATGCTATTTAAAAAAAAAAATCAGTTTAATTGATAATCACATGATGATGTTTATACACAATCAAATTACTAAAGTGCTTTGAGATATATATATATATATATATATATATATAAATTTTAAATAGATACGATAACAAAATATAAAAATAATATAATTTAAAATTTTAATAAAAAATATTAAAAATATTAAAAAAATTAAAAAAATATTTTATATTTTTATATTGATATAAAATTAATTTTTATATAAAACATAACATAAATATAATAATTTTTAATATTTTATATTATACGGTACACGAATTACTAAGTTTAGATATGATCAAATATTTCTTTTCTAGTGCAAAAATAATTTTAATGTGTAAGCTTAATCATATTAATTATTGATTCTTAAAATATCTTTAATCTTTTGCAATTTTTTTTATTTTTATATAAAATTATGATTGCATAAATCAATTAAAATTAAGTCTTAATTTAAAAACATTATTTTGGTTAAAGAAATATTCATTCCCAATCGCAAAAGGTAGGAGAAAATTAAGCCCAGCTTTGAGGGCTTGTTACAAACAATACAAATTAGGGGCTTTTCTTCAATAAATAAGAATTAAGCTAAGGACTTTTTTAAAAATATGATGATTCATATATTTGTATTATATAAAATATTAAAATTTATATATTTATATAATATTTTATAAAAAAATTATATATCATAATTTTTATTAATATGAAAATATAAAATAAAATTTTTTATTTTATTAAATTAACCTATATATAATATTATTATAATTTTAAATTATGTTATTTTATATATCATTTTTATATTATATCGTATCATCATATTATATTTTAAATTATCAAATTTAATTTTTTATCGTACTTAAGTTGTTTGAAATATTATTTCTTAAAATAGAGTAATTTAAAACTATTCTTAAAATCAGGTAATTTGACACAATTATATTCCACCTCATCATTTTACCTAAAGAAAGTACACGTCATTCTTCTTGCTCCAAACACTAATCCCATCCCTCCCCTATATCTCCTTTATGCGGCAGGATACCCTTCAAAAGAAAAAATTATAATATAACACAAACAGGAACAAAATTGAGCAAGCAGTCGTGAAATATTAGAAAAATAACAATATTTATTATGATCACAGAGACAAAATCTACGAGGGGCTGGTGATGTGTTTACATAAAGATGTTGACCTATTTGGGAAAATCGGATCTATCTTGATTGGCCTTAATATGTATGTAATGGATCAAATTATTTGGGCGTTGAGTTCTAATGGAATGTTCAACACATATTCATTTAAAAAAAGAATGGATTACCAAGCCCATGGAAGAATGGCAACATGGCATAAATAAAACTGATGGAGATAGTCAAGAAAAGGAATTTCTGATAAGCTATTCGGGGATATGTTCCATTGATCTTCTAGAATTATGGGGTTTGTTTGTATCTGTTGCGCTTGAAGCAATAATCACAATAATACAGAAGTAATAGATAATAATCAATAATCAATAATCAATATGCAGGAAAAATAAAGCACACCAAGATTTACGTGAAAAATCCTTCAGTGTAGAGGGAAAAAATCACGGGCCACTAGAAAAATCTTCACTATTAAATAATAGTTATGCAAAGTTTTTTCCTAGCTAAAACTAGAGCTAATCAACAACTAGAGAAACAATTGAAAAAATCTCACAAAATAAGTGATTCAACAAATACACCCTGGATTTGTTCCTAGAGAGCTTCAAACCCGATCTTCACCATTCAGAATGTAGAACTCTTAATCATAAACCTCCTGACAAGGTTCTAACTCAATCGGACCACGGATCGACTGCTGTTCAACCAACTCTCCCTTCTCTTTTTTCTCTCTCTGCTTTTCCTGGCTTTTCTTCTTTCTCTGCTTGGTTTTCGACACACACCTAAAACAACCCCACCTCTTTTTTATTAAGTAGCTAGAGCTCTGTGTAAAATAAAAAGATCAAGGCCCATGGCCTTTACTTGGTCCAAAACCACTTACATGGTATTGGACCCCATTTTCCTAACAATCTCCCCCTCCAGCCCCATTAGGAGGAGATTCATCACCATAGCAGTTTCATTTGGAACTTACCTTGGCCAGGGAACTCATTTCGGCCAAGTTACTACAAAGCTTAAGCTTTTCCCTGGGAAGTATCTTAGTCAACATATCTGTTACATTCTTATCAGTATGGACTTTCTTCAATAACATCTGCTGTTCTTCAATCACTAAACGTAACCAATGATATCTAACATCAACGTACTTTGTTCTAGCATGGTACATGGTATTCTTACTCAAATCTAAAGCACTTTGGCTATCACAAAATATCATATACTCTTTCTAATTCAACCTCAATTCAAGAAGAAAACGTTTCATCCAAAGCATTTCTTTACATGCTTCGATTGCTGCAATATACTCAGCCTCTGTAGTTGACAAAGCAACACACTTCTGCAACTTAGATTGTCAAGATACAGCTCTTCCTGCAAAAGTGAACAAATACTCTGAAGTAGATTTTCTACCATCAAGATCGCCTGCCATGTCAGCATCAGTAAACCCTTCTAGAACTGGTTGTGAAACTTCATAAGTCAAGCACATTTTTGAGGTACCCCTCAAATATCTAAAAATTTATTTCACTGTTTCCCAGTGAACCTTCCTTGGATTAGAAGGAAATCTGCTCACTACACTAACTGCATGAGTAATGTCAGGTTTTGTACAAACCATAAGATACATTAAAGAATCGACTGCAGAAGAATAAAGAATACTAGACATAGCTAGTTGCTCTTCCTTAGACAGTGGACAAGATTTCTTACTTAGATGAAAATGGTTGACAAGTGAACTGCTAACTGATTTAGCATATTGCATGTTGAATCTACCAAGCACTCGTTCAACATACTTTTCCTGTGACAATCACAGCTTTCCAGCTCTCCTATCTCGGATAATATCCATACCAAGAATCTACTTTGCTGGACCTAAATCCTTCATATCAAAGGACTTTAGATAATTGTTCTTTCAACCTGTAAACCATACTAGCATCTTGTCCTATAATTAACATATCATCAACATATAATAATAGGATAATGAAGTTACCATTAGGAAATTGTTTAACATACACACAAGAATTCGTTGCTGTTCTTTTATAGCTATGACTCACCATAAAAGAATCAAACTTTTTGTACCACTGTCGCGGAGCTTATTTCAAGCCATACAAGCTTTTCTTCAATTTGTAAACTAAGTACTCTTTCCTTTTCACTTCAAAACCTTAAGGCTGATTCATATAAATGTCTTTCTATAAATCACCATGCAAAAATACAGTTTTAACATCAAGTTACTCAAGTTCAAGATTCAAACTAGCTGTCAATCCCAGTACCACTCGAATAGAACTCATTTTTACAACTGGAGCAAAAATCTCATCAAAATCGATGCTTGGTTTCTGAGAAAAACCTTTTACTACCAATTGTTTGTCACCATCATTTTTCAACTTGAACACCCATTTATTCTTTAATGGCCTCTTCCCTGTTGGAAGTTTAACAAGATCATAAGTACCATTCTTTTGCAATGACTTCATCTCTTCTTTCATTGCTTTTAACCAGTGCTCTCTATCTGGAGTAGCCTGCATATCTTGAAAGCTTTCTGGCTCCCCTTCATTGGTAACTAAAATAAAATCTGAACTTAAATACCTG